GATTTTTACTGATGTGATTCTCAGATGATGTAAAAAACATCTTCATCTTTAGGTTGCATAATAGTAATAATATCTCTATGCATTTTTTTTTTCATTGCAGCTCTAGTTTCCTATGCTGTGTTGTCAGTGGCCCAAATTTCAGAAGGGAAGAGTTTGTGACCTACCTGAAGAATCAGAATGCTGGGAGGATGTAAGGGAAAATACTTTAAACTCTCCTAAAGAAGGAAGAGGAGACTATGACCAGGTACTGCAATTTATTACCAGCATAAAACAGAGACTCCTACTTGAATAATCGTTGAACACAGACAGCATATGAACCTTGCAAGGTGTTCTGTAATTACGTAATGATCATTGTAAAAATGTTTGCTAGAATTCCACTCATGCTTATGATATTACTAAGTCTGGAACCATTGAATTTGTGATTTTCCCTTATTCTAGCTAGAGTTAAGCATTCTGGCACCTTTCAGGCCCTTTGCTTAATTAATAATTAACTACAAGCTTCTCTTCCCATCCTCCTTTTACTTCCCATCTTCCTTCTCCAAGTAGAGATGGCAGCCCCCAGCACCCAAGCAACCGGAAGCAAAGTGAGGAGGTGCTGTTGCACAGGCAACATGCCTAATGCTAGGGTTTGTCTGGAAGGAGGGGAAGGAGGTGCTGGGATGTAGGATTTTCACTGTTAAAACTGGGGCAGGCCTGGCCAAATGAAGATAAGTTGGTATCTAAGGAAGCAGGGTGATACACAGAGGGGTTGTAGAGAGAGGGTGATGGAGAAAATGTGGTAAGATATTAACAACTGAGACATCTGGGCAAAGGGGGTGTAAGAGTTCTTTATATTGTTCTTGCAACTTTTTCGTAGGCTTATGACTATTTAAAAAACAAAAAAGTCAACAGCAAGATACCTTTTTGATGGAATGGTAAGTTTGGGCTCTGCGATCAGATAAAACAGGGACTCAAATCCCTATTTTACTACTAAATAGGTGTATGATACTGGGCAAGTCACTTAACTCCTCTGAGACACTGTTTTCTCATTTATAAGGTGGGCATAGTACTATTAATAGTACCTTTTTATTGTGTGGTTGTTATGAGGCTTAGATGAGATGGTGTGTGTGAGATACTTGGCACAGTGCCTGTTTCATAACTGATAAAGAGCCTTTATTTATGAGCTATGCCTATTGATATTTATCATATTAAAAACTAAAATTGAGAAATTAAAACAAAATTTAATTCTTGGGGCACCTGGGTGGCTCAGTCAGTTAAGTGTCTGACTTTGGCTCAGGTCATGATCTCACAGTTTGTGAGTTCAAGCCTTGCATTGGCCCTTGCACTGACAACATGGAGCCTGCTTTGGATCCTCTGTCTTCCTCTGTCTCTGCCCCTCCCCTACTCTCACTCTCTCTCTCTCTCTCTCTCTCTCTCTCTCTCTCAAAAATAAAAATAAATATTTAAAAAATATATTTAATTCCTTTAAAAACCTCAGGGATCTAGGGATGAAGGCCAGGTTTAGGACACCCTGGAAACCCACACAATCCAAAATGGTGGCATGGCCCAATGGAGCTGGGGATTCTGAATTCATTAAAAATAAAAATCTGTTGGGGCACCTGGGTGGCTCAGTCAGTTAAGCGTCCAACTTCGGCTCAGGTCTGATCTCACCATTTTTGAGTTCCAGCCCACGTCAGGCTATGTGCTGACAGCTCACAGCCTGGAACCTGCTTCAAATTCTGTCTCCCTCTCTCTGGCACTCTGTGTCTCTTCTCTCTCAAAAATAAATAAACATTTTTTAAAAATTTAGATAAAAAAGTCTGTTGAATCATAATTTTGTACACCTGAAATTAACATAACAATGTGTGTTAACTACACTGGAATTAAAATAAATAAATAATGGATAATAAATAAAAATAATGAAAAAAACCATAAGCCTATTATATGTTGACATAAGTTTATACAAAATAACTTTATTTTCATTAAAAAATCTGGTAAGAAGATGGCTTTGTTTTACACTTTTGCTAATCTCTTTCTCATGTATAGAAATCAGTGGGCTCTTATATCTGCTTTTGTACCAAACTAGTACTATATGTCCTTTTGGTAGAAATATATGAAGAAAATCCAGCTTCACATAGATAGGTAGTTGAAAAAGGAATATTTTTGGGTGCCTGCCTGGTTTAGTTGGTAGAGCGTGCAACTCTTGACGGTGGGATCATGAGTTCGAGCCCTATGTTGAACACAGAACTTACTTAAAACTTTTTTTTTGAAAATGGACTCTCACTAAGAGTCTTTTCAGATAATTGTGTATTTTCTTCTTTGACACTACACCAACACTCAAGAAAAGTGGTTTCTTGGCTTAGTCAGTTAAGCATCCAACTCTTGATTTTGGCTCAGGTCATGATCTCATGGTTTGTGGGTTTGAGCTGTCAGCCCAGAGCCTGCCTGGGATTCTCTCTCTTCCTCTCTCTGCCCCTCCTTGTATGTGTGTCTCTCTCAAATAAATAAACATTAAAAAAAAAGGTTAGTTGCAGTTTGAAATCTGCAATCATGTCAATTAACTTTTCAAACTGTGCTTATTGATTGTTGATGAGCCTGAATATTTCATTCAGTGTTTATCTGGGATTCGTATATCTTCTTTTATAGATTGCATTTTCCTGACCTCAGCCCAGTTTTCTATTGGACTGGGTTTTTGTTTTTGGGTTTTTTTTTTTTTTTTTTTTTGGTCTTTTCTTAGAGAGGTATATATTTGGTGCATGGGGTAAGATTTCAGTCTCTGAGGTCATGCTGCTTAAATTCATGCTTAGCATCTGGCACTTAATAGCTATGCGACCTTGGGAACTGTTTTAAAAAATATCTCTGTGCCTGTTTTATCACCTGAAAAAGAAGATGATAATGAAACCCACCTCACAGGGCTTGAATAAGAGAATATGCATATTAGGGACTGAATGTTTGTGCTCCCGCCATTCATATGTTGAAATGTTGAAACTCTACCACCTAACCTGATGGTATTAGTAGGCAGGACCTTTATTTGGGAAATAATTAGGATTAGATGAGTTCATCGGATTGAGATGAGTGAGTGAGATTAGTGCCCTTCTGAGTGAGATTAGTGCCCTTCTGAAAAGAACTTGCTCCCTTTCTGATTTGTCAATTGAGGATACCATGAGAAATTGGTAGTCTACACTCCAGAAGAGGGCTGTTACTGGAACTTAACCATATTGGCACCCTGATCTTGGACTCTGAGTCTCTAGAACTGTGAGAAATACATTTCTGTTGTTTACAAGCCATTCAGTTTATGGTATTTTGTTATAGCAGCCTGGATAGACTAAGACAATGCATAAATCAGTGTCCACATATAGTGAGTTCACAAATGAGCAGGTGATACTCTTAGATTTTTTTTTCCTATATACTAGTTATCTAAAATTCAGTACCCTCTGGACATTTCCATTCTGACACCCCACAAGTGATGCATATTCAAACATTTCCAACATGAATTGCAAACCTGTCCCTTAGCTATTCACTATACTGATAAAGGATCAAGACATAGGTAATCTACCCTTTTCACTGGAGTGGGGAACATGGGATCCATCCTTTCTCCCTTCATCTTTTTATGCCTAAGTGAGTAAAATACACCAAATCTTCCATGAAAATAACTTTTTAATCTCCCTATTGGTATCTTCTTAGTCTTCAGGCTTTTATTAGTCTCATACATGATTTCTTTAGAGGCTAGGACAGAATTGCAGGAGTTGGGGGGGAGTGACCCAGGGATGGCTTCTATAGTGAGAAGAGGGCAAGGCACAGGACCCAGGGAACACTAAAATGAAAGAGGAGACGCAGCACACAGCCCAGAAAGAGGACTGAGCAGGAAGAGAATAAGTCAGTGATTGCCACTGAAGCATTTGGATTTACTTTCACTTAGGGAGGAGTTACTTCCATTTATTTTTCTTAAAACTTGTGAATGCCTTCCTTCTTCATTCTGGAAAAGACCATAAGTGATTGATCTTATCCTTGCTATCTATCCTATGGTGGAAGCAACCTGGGTACAACTGAAAGTTCATCAAAGCTGTGGTTTAGCCCCTTCTTTGTTGGGAAATCTTGGGCAAATGATAACTCTGAAACCTCAGTTTCTTCATTGGTTAAAAGGTGTGTAATGAGTTTGTTTATGGGAGAAAATTAGACTCGTGTATGAAAATAATTTGCAAAAACAGCACTATATGAGATCAGGTAATATTTATCAATGCTTCTAGACGCCAGGCCTTGTCTAAAAAGCTAAACTATATTAATTCATTTACCTGTATTATCTCAAGCTCCGCCTTGAATTTTCTTATCAATCCTAAGATAAAGCACAAATATGGAAACAAAGGTCCAGCGAGGTTAAATAGCTTAACCTAGAGTCCACACTCTTAGGGCGTGTGCACCATCTTTGAATACACTTTTTCCTCTTTTAATTGGTAATTAAAAAACACAAGAATATTACAAAATGGAGGTAAAAGTAAAATGGGGTTAACAATATCCCTAGCTGGTATATCAAAAGGATTAATTAGGCGCTAAATATTGAGAGATGATCCTGAAAAATAACAGAAAAGCTGGGCCATCATTCTCATCCTTCGAGGAAGGGGATTGGGGCGCAGGTGCCCAAGACAGCAGGGCGCCTCCGCCTAGAGGACCTAAGTGCAAAGAAATCTAGAAAATGGAAATAGGGAAATTAAAGCACCGAAGAAGACAAGCTTTGTCTGGATCACGTTTAAACATGTAGTGTTCGCTGTCTTTTATGAGGACATCGAGGTCCACTGTAATCCTAGATGAGACTGTTCCATTTTCTCGCTGAGAATCCCCCAGGAAAAGGGGAAACTCCACCGGCGACCCAGCTTCCTTGCTAGACGTCTCCTATGGCAACCAGGACGAGGCGTTATTTACGGATTGGCCCCGCCCTCTTTCTCTACAAATCGAACAACGATTGGTCCGGAGGCGCGGCGCTGGCGCAGGGAGGCGGACTTAGGTCCCTCAGCTCAGGCTGGGCCCCGCCGCCATTTTGGGTTGTGTGGGTTTCCGAGACGCTCTGAGCTGGGCCTCGCCCGCGGAGGTTCCGCAAATCGCCGGCCAGTGGTACGCGTCCGAGTGTCAGGTTGGAGCCGGGAAGCGTCCCTGGGGGTACCGGCGGCGGGGGCAGGATGAGCGCGGAGGCGGCGGACCGGGAGGCAGCCACCTCCAGCCGGCCCTGCACCCCGCCGCAGACCTGCTGGTTCGAGTTCCTGCTAGAGGAGTCGCTGCTGGAGAAACATCTGCGCAAGCCCTGCCCGGGTAAGCGCGGCGCCTACACCCGGAGGGAAGCGGGACCCGTCCACCGGCACCTGGCTCGCCGGGCTCTCAGGACCCGCGCCTCCTCGGCCACATAGCTGGGGGGCCCAGGAGGCGCGAATTCGAGCCAAGCTCTGGCGGGGTTCCCTCGCTAAACATTAAGCATCCCAGTGCGGGGGCACCGCCGGGAAGGGTTTAAAAACGCAAAACAAAGGCCTTCCCGCTTCCCTCCCCTTGGTCCTTTTACCGTTTGCGGTTTTAGCTCCTTTGAGGTGGTCTTGTGAGATTGAGTGTGTCGGGGAGGCTGGATCTGACACACCCCTACAGAACTCTGGGCTGTGATCAATTTAGAGACGGAGAGTAATTGCTGTTCTAGTGCTGATCCTGATGCTAATTTTTTATATTTTAGGTTCTTATTTAAATGTTTTGTTTCTCAACGAGGGGATTTTACCGACTCCTAATTATTTTTTTCCCCCAAGTTGGTCTATAAATTAAAAGGAGAAAACCTCCGAGAGCAGGGAATGTTATACATTTGTAACATGGATGTTTAATGATGATCATGATTAATATCCCAATTAGTGGGTGCTGTTAGAGAAGGAGAGAAACGGCAGGCATTTCTGGAAAGAGGTACTGGTATGACCAGGTAAGTTTCTTGAATAGTATTTTGCTGATACAGTTCAAATCCAGATGTAGCTTGTTGAATCTATGTTAGCCTTAACTGATGGAGACAACTGTGGAGAAGTTAGTGGTTTCATTCAAGCAATTTTACCACCTGTATGATGTTATGTTCTTTTAATTCTTTGCTTTTCATATTTATTGAATGTTCTGGGTGCCATGCTTAATACTTCACATCTGTTATCTCATTTAATTCGGTGTTCATAATCACAGGTAGGTGGTGGTATTCTCTATTTGCATTGATGGAAACAGGTGCAGAGAGGTAATTTGATGCAGGTCGCACTAATTGTTAAAACAGTAATTCCAAAGATGACATCTCTGTTCTCTTTCCTCTAATTGATATTGGTTATTTGCTAAACTGGAAATCTATAGTCATCATGTTCTTACTTCTAAAGTGTTTTCTTCTTCATGATTCTGTTAACCCTTTTTTCCTTACGTACCACCCTTCCTCCTTACTTACCACCCTTCCTGATCTTTCATGTAATCCCTAGGCACTCTTATAAATCATATTCCTTAGTCATCATAACTACACAGCTGTTGGGATTTTTTTTTTTTTGTGGCCAAAAGCCAGTATAGTGAAACCTTTCGCATCTTTCTAATTGAAAGTTAAAGTTAAATTTATTTTCTTTTAAACCCTAGATCCTGCACCAGTTCAACTTATTGTTCAGTTTTTGGAACAGGCTTCCAAACCTTCAGTAAATGAACAAAACCAGGTGCAGCCTCCACCTGATAACAAGAGAAATCGTATTTTAAAGCTACTTGCTCTTAAAGTTGCTGCACATCTGAAGTGGGACTTAGACATATTAGAGAAAAGGTATACAAGATTTAAAAGAAATTTATTTTGAAATACTATTTAGATTTTTTGTTTTATTTTTATATATGCTTTTCTGATACCAGCCCTTAAAATGCAACTTATATTTCTGTATGTTCCTGGTAATATATGCACCTGTTTTTCAAAAGGTATAAAAAAGTATTTGAATGTTACATGGATTTAAATCACCTTTTCTTTTTTTTTTTTTTATTTGTTTATTTTTGAGAGAGCGCGCACAAGCAGGGGAGGCTCAGAGAGAGACGGAGTCAGAATCTGAAGCAGGCTCCAGGCTCCGAGCTGTCAGCACAGAGCCTGATGTGGGGCTCGATCCCATGACGCTGGGACCGTGACCTGAGCCAAAATCGAGTTGGATGCTCAACACACTGAGCCATCCAAGCACCCCCTCACAATTTTAAAAGAACTCCTTGTAAGGGCATCTGGGTGGCTCAGATGGTTAAGCATCTGACTCTTGATCTCAGCTCAGGTCTTGGTTTTAGGGTCATGAGTTCAAGCCCCACATTGGGCTCCACACTGGGCATGGAGCCTACTTAAAAAAACAAAAAAAAAAAGTACCTTGTAAAATTCAGAAATCAGAAATAATAGAGGAGGGAGACAAGTACTTTTAACGTTTTTGTGTAGTTTTTGAAGTTTTTCTCTCTATTTTTTAGAAGTACTCTTTATACCCACTGTGGGGTCCAAACTCCTAACCCTGAGATCGGTAGTTGGATGCTCTACTGACAGCCAGCCAGGCACCCTTCTTCCTATATTTTTAAACAAAGTTGTGATCATACCCTAACCTGTATACACTGTTGTGATTTCTTTGTTTCTTTTTTTCCCATATAACAGTAACATGAACATTTCCCCATTTTGTTTTTTGGAGATAATTCCATCATGTGGATAATTGATTAACTGTCTTCCATTGATGTTTAGTTTGTTTCTACTTTTTAATTTTAATAAATCACAGAGCCTTAAATACCTTCATCATTAAATTTCATCTGAGTTTTTGGTTACATCCTTAGTACAGATTATTAAATTGCTGACTCAGGTGGTATAAACATTTTTAAATCCCATGGTGTATACTGCCAGATTGCATTCCAAGAGAGTTGTACTAGTTCACGTTCTCACTGGTAGTGTTTAAACACTTTGTTTTCACCACCCTTCTCCAGATTAAAGAATTCTTTAATCTAAGGTGAGGCTATACATTAATAGACTTGAGGCCTGTCAAGAGGTAGTAATGTGGACCCAAAAAGTATGATGTATATGATGCAGTTGGAAATTGAACACTGGGATATTTGATAAGCAACTGAAAACTTTTTGTAAGGTATTTAAAAATTTTTTAATGTTTATTTTTGAGAAAGAATGTGTGGGGGGGGGAAGGGCAGATAGAGAGGAGGACAGGATCTGAAGCTGGCTCTGTGCTGACAGCAGACAACCCAATGCAGGGCTTGAACGCATAAACCTTGAGATCATGACCTGAGCTGAAGTTGGATGCTTAACCAACTGAGCCACCCAGATGCCCCGTAAGACTTTCTAAGTTTATTTTTACTTATTTCTTTGAGAGAGAGAACAAGCAGAGGAGAGAGAGAGAGAAAGGGACAGAGGATCTGAGGCAGGCTCTGTGCTGACAGCAGAGAGCCCTGTGTGGGGCTCGAACTCATAAACTGTGATATCATGATCTGTGCTGAAGTCAGAAGCTTAACTGAGCTACCCAGGCACCCCCAGCTGAAATATATTTAGATGTGAAATTAATACAGTGACTATATTGAGTTAATGTTTTAAAAGTTTTATTTAAGTAAACTCTACACCCAACGTGGGGCTCAAACTCACAACCCCAAGATCAAGTTGCATGCCCTTCTGACTGAGCCAGCCACGTGCCACTATTGAATTAATTTTTTGAGATCAATTCTGAAACACGGAAGAAATTATTTAATGTTAAAAATTTGCTTTATGATAGTATGGGAAGGGGAGGAAGTGAGCAAGAGTAGAGATGAAAGCATATTAGCCATCAGTCCATAATTGTTGAAACTAGATGATGGGCACATGGGGGTTCATTATATTCTGACTGCTTTTGTGTATGTTTAAGTTGTTTTCATAAAGAAAATTTTAAAAACCTTTAAAAACATAGTATTTTTTTAAAGGTTCATTTGGAGGCAGAGAGGGAGCGAGAATCCCAAGCAGGCAATGCAGGGCTTGATCTCATGAACCATGCTTGAGATCATGACCTGAGCTGAAATCAGGAGTTGGATGCTTAACCAACTGAGCCACCCAGGCACCCCTGAAATTTAATATTTTCATACAAGTTGTTGAGACAGATTAATAAAATAGCCTCAGATTTAGTCCTTTAACAATGTATTTATTTTCAGTGAAAATACTGAGTTGTGTATTTTATGCTTCTTATGCAGATGTGTACCTTTTGTTTCTTTAAGTTTGTCTGTTCCAGTATTGAATATGCTGCTAAATGAACTGCTGTGCATCAGTAAAGTTCCTCCTGGGACAAAGCATGTGGATATGGATCTGGCCACTTTACCTCCGACCACTGCCATGGCTATCCTTCTCTACAATAGATGGTAAATTTTTTCATAGACCACAAATGTGTTGGGCAGCCTGTGTGTAATTGCCCTCTGGCTTTCAGGGATGTGCTTTTAAGGGTCCCCTATACCCTGGAGAGCTCTTGGAGGATCTTGGAAACTGGGAGTCTGATGGTAGAGAAAATTATGACTGCATATATGAGAAAAGCATTCTGATAAAAATGTGGATGATTTATGAAGGTTTTATTACATATCGATTAAAAGTTCAGCTAATTTATAATAACAAATGTTCTAAGTAGTACTTAAATAATTTAAGTGACATTTGCAATGTGTTAAATTTTCTTTTTCTTGTCTGTCCTTCAGGGCAATTAGGACAATTGTTCAAAGCAGTTTTCCTGTCAAGCAGGCCAAACCTGGACCTCCTCAGTTAAGTGTGTAAGTCGGCAGATGGGACCCTTGGTTGACACTTTTTGTCATCAGGATTAAAAAAATTTTATTTGCATGTTTTTAATAACCTCTGGTACCGAAGGAGTAGAGTTAGAGGAGGGCACAAGGCCTACGTGCAGGTAGGTTTGGGGCGTTAGAAGGGTGACAGAATCAGGCAGTGCTCTGGATATCTATAGTAGAGAGCTCTGGAAAAAGGAATGCATTGTGACTTGTGCCTTTCATCTTAGTGTTAATTCCCCTGCTCCAAAGTATTAAGATTTTTTTCATTTAATTAAATTTACATAAAGTTATATTTGTTCTGTATGTAGGGAAATTGTTTTAATATGTAAAATTAGTTTAGGATACGAAAAATTACCAGAGTTATCATCTGTGGAGTTTTAAACCTAATTCTTACAATTTTTTTTAATGTTTATTTTTGAGAGCGCACGGGCAGGGGAGGGGCAGAGACAGAGAAGGAGACGCAGAATTTGGAGTAGGCTCCAGGCTCTGAGCTTCAGCACAGAGTCTGACATGGGGCTCAAATCTGTGGACCATGAGAACGTGACCTGAGCCAAAGTTGGATGCTTAACCAACTGAGCCACTCAGGCACCCCTAAACCTAATTCTTAAATTCTAGGTTAGCAGCTTACCCAAATTTGGAGCTAGAGAGCATAGTTTCTAACTTGATAGAAATGAGCTTTTGCTGCCAATAAGGTTTAGTCTTAAATTGAGGGTTTTGTTTTTGTTTTTTCAACACAAAGCAAATGAAAAAATAATGGTAAATGAACATCATAATTGAGTTTTTGTTTTTTCAAGAGTGAAAAGAAGTAGTATTACCATTTTTGTTTAAATTCTGCCTCATTTTGAAGAATGATGCTCTAAAGTTCAGAATTTTTAGTCTTGAAAAATGTTAAATACTTCTCAATCTTTTCTCTTTTAGCATGAATCAGATGCAACAGGAGAAAGAACTAACAGAAAATATTTTGAAAGTAGTGAGTATCAGCATCAGTTACACATTTCTGGGGTGCATTCAGAGCATGTTCACATGCTTCCTCTAACCTTAGATATGCAAGAGTTGGCAGGGTCTGGAAGCAGTGATGTATAGGTTTTTATTGTTAGAACATAGTTTGGTAACAATTGTAAATCGTACAGCTTTTCAGTGTAGTGCTTTACCACCAATTCTGTTGTCCAATTTTTATACTTTAGCAGATAAGAGAAATCACAGTTACAGATGATATCTTCATATTTTTTCCCCGAAATTTTATAATTAACATAGATTTTATTTTTCTTTACAACAAAGACTTTATTTTATATTATTTTATTTTATGTTATTTTATTTTATTTTATGTTCTGTGGTTTTATGTTATGTGATTTTATGTTATTTTACTTTATGTTATTTTATGTTATGTTTTATTTTACTTTATGTTATGTTTTATTTTACGTTATTTTGTTATGTTATTTTATGTTCTTTTATGTTATGTTATTTTATGTTATTTTATGTTATGTTTTATTTTGTTATGTTTTATTTTGTTATGTTATTTTATTTTATGTTATGTTATTTTATGTTATTCTATTTTATGTTATTTTATTTTGTTATTTTATTTTTTTATTTTATGAAATTTATTGTCAAATTGGTTTCCATACAACACCCAGTGCTCATCCCAACAGGTGCCCTCCTCCATGCCCATCAGCCACTTTCCCCTCCCCCCCCCCACATGTATTATATTTTAAAATTACTTTTTCAGGGGCGCCTGGGTGGCTCAGTCGGTTGAGTGTCCAACTTTGGCTCAGGTCATGATCTCCTGCTCTGTGAGTTCGAGCCCCGCATCAGGCTCTGTGCTGACAGCTCAGAACCTGGAGCCTGCTTCTGATTCTGTGTCTCCCTGTCTCTCTGCCCCTCCACCACGCGTCCTCTCTGTCTCTCAATAACTAAATAAACATAAAAAAAATTTTTAAAAAATTACTTTGCAGTCACAAAAATACAGTAGTTATTGTTTAAAAGAATTTTTTTTAAGTTAACTTGTTTTGAGAGAGAAAGTGTGAGCAACGGAGGGGCAGAGAGGAGATAGAGAATCCCATGCAGGCTCCATGCTGTCAGCGCAGAGCCTCACACAGGGCTTGATCTCATAAACCCGGAAGATTATGACCTGAGCCAAAACCGGGAGTTGGACGCCCAACCGACTGAGACACCTAGGCACCCCTATAGCAGTTATTATTATTATTTTTTTCAACGTTTATTTATTTTTGGGACAGAGACAGAGCATGAACGGGGGAGGGGCAGAGAGAGAGGGAGACACAGAATCGGAAACAGGCTCTAGGCTCTGAGCCATCAGCCCAGAGCCTGACGCGGGGCTCGAACTCCCGGACCGCGAGATCGTGACCTGGCTGAAGTCGGACGCTTAACTGACTGCGCCACCCAGGCGCCCCTATAGCAGTTATTTTTTTAATGTAGTTAATATAAAAGTAGAAATGTGGGAGTTTCCATAATTTAAAAATAATCTCTGTAATTCCATGATACCTACAGTGCACCAGAAACACTGTGTAAAGTCTAAGGGCTGGGAGAGGAGAGAAACATTCTATATTTATATAAAGTTAATGTGCTGTAGTATTTTGAATGCTTATTTATATTTTTTGTGAGACATAGAGCAAGTGGAGGGGCAGAGAGAGAGGGAGAGAGCCTCTGTCAGCACAGAGCCTGATGCAGGGCTTGACTCAACAACCACGAGATCATGGCCTGAGGTATAATCAAGAGTCCAGGACCCTTAACCGACTGAGCCACCGAGGCGCCCCATTATGCTGTAGTATTTTGAATGTGGAGAAAAAAAACCCTGCATCATTTTATTTTTGTTACTAGTGCCTACTAAAACGGTGGGTGACACATTGATGCATATAAACATTTCTTGAATAAATCAGTGGAAGCAAATCTTTAGAGCACTTTTATCTTTTTTTTGTAAAAAAAATAAATAAAAAGGTACCTTTTCTACTTTGTATTTTCTAATTTCTAAATAGGAACTTTTACTGTATTTTTAAAAATTTAACTATTTCAGCAGACTTAATTGCACTCTTGCTGTGTTAAATTTTTTTAATAGCTTAGTACACCAAGTTATTGAGTGTCCTGTGTATATATTTTGGTTAGTTTTCTGTGATGTTTGTATTTTAATAATTTGTTTATTGAATTTTTGTAGCTAAAAGAGCAAGCTTCTGATTCTATTTTGGTACTAGAGGCAGCCCTTAAATTAGACAAGGATCTTTATGTCCACACAATGAGAACACTAGATTTGTTGGCAATGGAGCCAGGCATGGTAAATGGAGAAACTGAGAGTTCTACTGCTGGATTGAAAATCAGAACTGAGGAGATGCAGTGCCAGGTACTTATTTCAGTATTCAATCAATGCATGGCAAAGTTTTAGAAAATCTTACATGAGGTCATTCTAGTATTTTTAATTAGAATTCCTCCCTTTGTCTTTTCGATGACTTAAGATGCTATTAAAATTTTGACTCATAATTAATTTGTAAATTTTATGACTTCACTTGAAATTTTCCTGAAAGAAATGGAAGGGAAATTCCATTTGATTTGTGGTCTCTGAGATAGTTTCCCAATTGTGTTTAAGAGACAGGCTCTGAATACTGAGAATGCAGTGAGTATGTAAACAATTCTGCAGTTCATTCATATTGTTAGATAATTAAACAAAAAAAAAACCCTGAACCCCAAAACAAATACTGTGCTAGACTTTGAAAAATGTTGGCCCCTAGAAAAAATAACTAGTTTTTCAAGGGTCTTCATTGAAGGTGGTTCTATAACTCTGGGCTCTAGTTCCTTTGAAAGCTTTCAGTTGATATTGTTGTGAGATACTGCGTATTTGTGTTGTCTTTTTCTCCACTGGATTGTAAACTCTCTGAGATCTCTCTTTTTTAACGTGTATTTTGCATCTTCCTCACTTTTTAGCAGAGAAACTTAGGTATAACAAATTTTAAAATATTCAAAAACTGTGTAAAAAGGGCCACGAAAATAGTGTGTTTTATATTCTGTATTCTCTTCTTTGTGGGAGTTGGCGCGTCATCTTCTGTTTTTAAACAGGCAGTTCTTTTTTTAAGTAAATTAATTAATTAAATTCTGCCCCCAAAGTGGGGCTTGAGCTCACAACCCTGAGATCAAGAGTCACGTGTTCTACCGACTAAGCCAGCCAAGCACCCCTTGCGTGATTTCTTTTTTTTAAGTGTATTTATTTCTTTTGAGAGTGCACGTGTAGGAGAGGGGCAGGTGAGAGAAAGAGAATTCCAATCAGCTCTGCGCTGATAGCACAGATCCTGTTGTGGGGCTCAATTCCACGGACCGTGAGTTCATGACTTGAGCCAGAATCAAGAGTGGGACGCTTAACTGACTGAGCCGTCCAGGCACCTGCTGATTTCTTCAGTCACTGTTTCCCATTCCTGAAATGGGCAGAAGTAGCTATGACAACGTGTTGGGAGGTGCCTTTTCAGATTAGCTGGTTGTAGAGTTTAAGATAATCATTTTTTCAGTACCTGATGAGATGGCAGTCACAGTTGGAATAGGAGTAATGAGGATTGACAATTGGGAACATCTTTAAATAGTAGTGAAACTTACATATAAGAGGGTTTATGGTACTATATTGTAGTCACAGAGTCTATTTAAAAATAATTGGTAATGTTTCTGATTTTCACAATCTAGTGGGTGATGCAATCTGGAAAACAAAACAGCTGTTAATAAAACATGTCAGTGTGCTAGGTAAACTATCAAATACTTTCTTAATTATATAGCTGAGTCCTAATTCTGTGCCTTGAATGGCAAATTAGCAGCAATACTTATTTCCCAGCACGTTAATATTTAAAGGACATTCTTTACATTACTAAAATTTACCTGATTCTAAAGGAAAATCTTTAAATTCTTTTCCCAGTAAAAGCAAAAATATTTGCTGTCAGGGCAACTTTGTTATCAGGCTTTTTGTTTGTTTTAACTTATTAACTACCTCTTAATTATAGAATTTAAACTTGTTTTATGTATTTATGTGGGGCTCAAACTCATACCCTGAGATCAGGAGTTACATGCTGTATGGAGCCAGCCGGGCATGCCTAGAATTTAAACTTGTTTTAATGGGGTTGCTTGGCTGGCTCAGTTGGTAAAGCATTTGACTCTTGATCTCAGAGTTGTAAGTTGGAGGCCCACTTTGGGTATAGAGATTTCTTAAAAAAGAAATCTGAAAAAAAAAAAACACACACAAAAAAAACCCTTGTTTTAATGTTAGTATAGTGATGCTTGAAAATACCTTTTTGGTATCTTGCACTGTCTGCCTGGAAAGGGGAATTACATGTAACTGTAATGTCTGTGTGTGTATAAATACCTGTATATCCTTTTTCTGTCTTTCTTTCTCTTTGTCTTTCTTTTCTTTCTTCCTTCCTTCCTTTCTTCCTTTCCTTTCTTTTCTTTCTTTTCTTTCTTTTGTTTCTCACCCTTTGATCCAGATGGGAGGAAGCACTCTAGAATGAAAATCAGCCACACATTTAATGTGGACTAAATAGTAAGAAGCAGTATCCTACAGGCTGAGAAGAATTCATCTTGATTAGCTCAAGAGGACAGAATATGTATATATGATACATATCAGTAAAGAGTAGTTCTGTGATGTGTATCAGACTGTTAGAGGTTAGAAGTTTGGAGGAGGAATAAGTATCTGTTTGCTAAGATTGGTTTGATGTAGATGGAAATAAGAGATAGGGAATGAAGTTTATTTCCAGGATCTGATAAGAATTGGGAATTGAGAAGACTGGTATGGTTGAAATAGAGGAGAATAGAGAGTTTTGAAGAGAGAAGTTAGTCCAGATTCTGAGATCGGTAAAGATTGGGCCCAAGGGGTTTGAACTTTATCTTACTTGGGATAATTTGAAGACTTTTTAAGAAAGTCAGATCTGTCAGCACTGTGTAGAATAAACTTTTGAGGCAGGATATTAGGAGCCTTAGGGATCTGGGTTCGAGCCTGGGCTCTGCCAGTACTTGGTTATATGCCTTTTAGCAGACATTGTCACTTCTGAGCCTTATTCCTGTCCATAAAATGTTCAAGTTGAATTAAACAATCTGAGTCCTTGAATTCTGCATTTAGTGAGTCTAGGCATTGATTGAAGAAGGTTCTTGAAGAAATACACAATTTTTTTTTTTTTTAAATAGGCTCCACACCCATCATGGGGCTCAGACTCACGACCCTGAGATCAAGAGTCGCATGCCCTATCAACTGAGCCATCCAGGTGCCCCAGAAATTACAGATTCTGTTAGTACTTTTTTAGTTGTTTTTTTTCTATCCTTTCATTGTCATTAATTCAGATTTTTCTCAGTGTTCACTCTGGTCAGGCAGTTACTCTCCCCCACTTTGAAAGAAGCATAGATGATAGAGAATCCGTCGTGATGTTGAATAGCAGCAACAGTGACAGTAAAATCTAGTTGACAGGGGCAGCCCGAGCAAGAGTCTAGCTAGCTGCTGCTCTTGGCATGTAGTGCTGGTGGCTGCAGGTGATAAGAGTCCAGTGTTGAGATGACCGCAGCACTCACTAGGTCACTTTTGGCTCTTATCTTGGCTGTTTGCATCCCTTGCCCTTTTGTTTCCAAAGGTCGATCCTTGGGCCAAGTAATTCTGTAGACCACCCTAAATCTTACCATTTAAATCTGTTTTCTCCTTAAATCAGTCCACTGGATTCTGTTTCTTGTGACTAAGAACATTGACTATTCCGTTGCTTGCTGAAATACAGTTTTTTTCCTGTATATGTACTAGCGTTTTGCTGAGATAAACATAATTTTGAGTTTTGTTAGCTTTTCAGTTCATGAAAATTTACTAAGCAAATTGGTATTCATTACCATTTTAGGTGTGTTATGATTTGGGTGCAGCATACTTCCAGCAAGGCTCTACAAATGCAGCTGTTTATGAAAATGCCAGAGAAAAATTTTTTAGAACCAAAGAACTAATTACAGAGGTAAATACAGTGATAACAGGCACATAATATTTAGTTCTTAAAGAGTCTATATATGTTTTTGGGTTTAATTTTTCTGATGATTAAAAAAACAAATGTTCATTGTGGTACATTTGGCAAGTTTTAGAAAGTACTAAAAAGCATTTTGAAAATCTGTATTACTACTGCCTAGTAATTACCCCTTTTGCCATTTTAGCTTATTTTCTTCCAGGTTTCAGTCTTTGTTTTTCTACAGTTAAGGTTATATTAACTGTATATACTATATTGTTATCATGCTTAAATCTTTGAATAGACATTTAAAGATCTTCATGTAGATGTGCTGTGATTTACTTCATTTCTCTAATGTTTGGGCATTTATGTTTACTGTTTTTATTTATCATAAAGCTATAATATTTCTGTCTCCCAACTGTAAGACTTTTTTTGGTTTTTAGATGCTTTCAAGTTAAATTCCTACACGTAGAATCATCATGTCAGTAAATTGTAATGTCAGTAATCATCATGTCAGTAATTTTGTAAAGGCTGTGAAACATAAAACCAAATTGCTTTCCAGGTACATTTCTCTCGGTACTCCGATCAGCAGTGAGGGTTTTTTTGTTTTTGTTTTTTTCCTCCAGTTGCTAATTTGGTGGGCGAAATACACGAACTTTAACACATTTACATTTCCTTAATTCCTGGTAAAGGTGAACTTTTCATATGTTTAATACTTGCATTTTTCTTCTTATGATTCTGACAACTGAATTTTAAAATATGTAACTAGGTTTTTGTTTGGTGCCTAGAAAAATTCCCACTTCAGTCTCTCCTCTTCAGAAAAACTGATTAAATGCTCAAGAGATTTGCTTTAAATCTATTCTAGATCTTTTGGGAATCCACATTTTACTTTGCCCAGGCAGCTCATCAGATTTGCTCTGTTCTTACATATTTTTAAATGTTTTAAGCTTGTTTTAAACAGTGTTCACTCTTTTTTAATGTCTAAATTGTTATACATACTTTGATGATGATGTTTACCTTTTGTATGTTGGCCTGAAGTCTGCAGACTTTTTGGTAAAGGACCAAATAGTAGATATTTTAGGCTTTGTGGGCTATATGCAGTTTATGTTGCATATTCTCATTTGTTACTGTGTTTTTTCCCCTTTACAACCTTAAGTATGATTCTCAGCTCAAAGGCTGTATAAAAATAGGCCACAGGCCAAATGCCTGTGAACAATAGTTTGCTGACCCTTGCTCTAAACTTTCAACTTTTTCATTTTTTATGGTACTTCCAGCCCTGAATTTTCCATTACATTTTATTGTACTGTTAAAATGCATTGAATGGGTACTATACTATTGTTTTCTGTTACATTGATGGATAATGATGTATACCTCTTACTTTACAGATAGGTTCATTATCTCTTCATTGTACCATAGATGAGAAGCGGTTAGCGGGCTATTGTCAAGCGTGTGATGTTCTTGTACCTTCTTCTGATAGTACATCTCAACAGTTGACACCATATAGTCAAGTCCATATTTGTTTGAGATCTGGCAACTATCAGGTAAGATATCTGATAAGGAAGTAATAGGGTGATTGGAAAGCTTTGGAAGCCAGACAGAACTCATTTTAAATTCTGGCATCGCCATTTACCAGTTGTGTGATTTGGGGCATGAAAACTGTCAGATTGGCCTATAAAATGGTAATAATTACCCCATTTCATAGGTCTTAGGAGAATCAAGTGACAAGTTATAAAGTCTAAGCAGTGCACTGTAGAGATGTTGAGTCATTATTGATCATTTTTCTTGAAGGTACAGAATTTGCCTGTGTTAAGTAAATTCTTCAAGAAACTGTAAGCAGGACTTTTAACTTTTAAAATTACAGGTAAAGAATTGTTAGTTTTATGGAGCCTTAAGTCTGGTGTCTGACTTGAAAGTGTGGCTTTTGTAGCCCAGCCTTATTAGCCACTGTAAGACTGGGGGTAAAAATGAGCAAAGTGGTATTTGTAGGTTTGAATGGTCTATTCTAGAGACTGCTTTACCAGTGAGCGTGGTTATCATCTCGATTTTTACCCCATGGAAGACACTTAAATTAATCTGTTTATGTTCATTGCCTTCTGTGGATATATATTTTTAGGTTTGTAATGAAAATTACTGGGAATTAGAAATTGTACTTTTGAGGGGCACCTGGGTGGCTCAGTGAGTTAAGTGTTTGACTTCAGCTCAGGTCACGATCTCATGGTTCGTGAGTTTGAGCCTCATGTCGGGCTCTGTGCTGATAGCTCAGAGCCTGGAGCCTGCTTCAGATTCTATGTCTGTCTGTCTGTCTGTCTGTCTCTCTCTCTCTGCCCCTCCCCTGCTCACACTCTGTCTCTCTCTCTCTCTCTCAAAAATATATAAATATTAAAAAAATGTTTTTAATTTTTTTAAATGTTAAAAAAAATTTGTAGTTTTGAAATCTTTATCAGAAAGCCTTCATGCTAGAAAATGAATAGTGCCTTCATGTTACTTCACTCAAAGTAGGAGTCATGAAATGACAAAGCTACAGCCTATCTTTATTTCTAAGAAAAAAATTTTTTTTAAATTTTTAAATATTTATTTATTTTTGAGAGAGAGAGTGAGTGGGGTAGGGGCAAAGAGAGAGGAAGACCCAGAATCCAAAGCAGTCTCCAGGCCCTGAGCTGTCAGCACAGTGCCCGATGAGGGTCTTGAACTCCCGAACCATGAGATCATGACCTGAGCTGAAGTTGGATGCTTAACCGACTGAGCCACCCAGGCGCCCCTTGAATTTCCTCTTATCGATTGATTCTTCACCTCTCATTTTTGGTCTGTGGTCTTCAATTTAAAAAGGCAGGGTTGGGGGGCAGGTGAGATTTTTACCCTCAATCTTCATTTTAATATTTTAGAAAAGAGTTTTGTAGTAAGTTATTTTCATGATTTTCTTCAATATATATTTTCCATTGTAGAAAGACTTTTTTTTCTTTTTGGGAAGACTTTTAAAGTAAACAAGCTTTGCCATGATTTTTGAATTGGATACAATTTTATGTCTTGTGTTCTAGGATGTAGTAAAGATTTTTATTGAAGATAACTTAACCTTCAGTTTACCTGTCCAGTTCCGGCAGTCAGTACTAAGGGAACTCTTTCAGAAAGCTCAACAGGGGTAAGTAAGTAAATTGAAGAACTACCTTCTTATTTTTGAATAAAAGAGCAAATGCATTTTGGGTGTATAACAATAGACCTCCAAATCACCTGTAAATCTGTGACAGTACTTTCATCTTTGTTAGTATATGGGAAATTAACATAGCCAGAAGAGCCACTTTAATGTTCATCTGATCCTTAGTAAAAGCATTTGGGGGACAGAAATTAGTGGAATTTGATTCTATTACCTAATCTGTAGTTTAATTGTCCCTTGACAGATTAAAAACTTTCCTTTTCTGCGCTACCCTCCCACCCCGTGTGTGCCTGAATAACCTAAACTTTTACCTCTCAAGAATAAATAACTCATTCTAGTGAGTGATTTTGGTTTTGTGAAATGTACCTTACTTTTTTTTTTTTATTAAAGAGAATGTATTAGTAGATCTACTTTTGTATTCTACAGAAATGAAGCTCTAGATGAAATCTGTTTTAAAGTCTGTGCCTGTAACACAGTCCGTGATATATTGGAAGGTAGAACGATTAGTGTTCAATTTAACCAGCTATTTCTTAGACCTAATAAAGAGAAAATAGACTTTCTTCTTGAGGTAAGACATTTTTTCCCTTTTTGATTTGTAATTTTGCTGTAGGCTTACCAGTGACCTCTTAGTTGCCAAATCTAGTGCCCTCTTTTCTGTCTTCATCTGACTTGCTAATAGTTGATACTGCTTACAGACTCTCCAACCTTTTCTTCTGCCAGAGCTCTTTGCTCCTTCTCTGTTACTGCGTTTTCCTTCATCCTTCATCAAGACCTCTTTTGCTCTCCCTTTAGTGTTTCTGTTTACAGTATTTCTGTTTTTGGTGCACTCATCTTCTCATATCATTTTTTATTCTCATTTAAAGCTTCAGTCATCAGGGGCGCCTGGGTGGCTCAGTCGGTTGGGCACCCGACTTCGGCTCAGGTCATGATCTCACAGCTCATGAGTTCGAGCCTCGCATCGGGCTCTGTGCTGACAGCTGGGAGCTCGGAGCCTGGAGCCTGCTTCGGATTCTGTCTCCCTCTTTCTCTGCCCCTCCCCTACTCGCATTCTGTCTCAGTCTCTCTCAGAAATAAATAAACATTAAAGCTTCAGTCATCTGTTTATTGAACATTCCCAAATTATAATTCTGACCTCTCCTGTGAGCTCCAGAATCTGTGTTTCTGTTGGGTTTTTTGATGTCTGTCTTTAACTGTTTTAATATAAAAGATACTGAGAGAAATACATAAGCATAATTAATATCACTTAGTTTCAAAAATACTATATTGTCAACATTCTAGAAGTCCTTTTTTTTAGGATTTTATTTTTAAATAATCACTATACCCAATGTGGGGGCTCGAACTTACATCCCTGAGACTAAGAGTCACATGTTCCACTGACCGAGCCAGTCAGGAAACCCTCTAGAAGTCCTTTTTTTTTTAATGCTCTTTACTAAACCCTCTCCATCTCTGCTTGAGAAAATCACTGTCCTGCCTTTTGTGATCATTTCCTTGTTTTTCTTTGTACTTGTATCACCTTTGCATCCTTAAGGAATATTCTTTGTTTTGAACTTGATATAAAAGCATACAAAATACTTTTTTAATTTTCCTTCACTAAACAGGTTTATGAGCTTTTTTTCCAAGTTGTATGCATTTATAGTTTGATTTTTTTTCATTGTTGTGTTACAACATGACTATTGTGCAATTCATCGGTTCTTAGGACATTTATGTTGTTTACATAATGTAAATGGCTATTTTGCTGCTTGGAACATTATGTATATCTTGGTGTACACATATATCAGATGTCTACAGAAAATATATCTCTAACATTACTTTGTAATATCAGTGTTTTTGTCGCCAGCATTCATTGGTCACCATCCTTGTCAACACTTGGTATTGTCAAATTTACCTATGAGGTCATTAAGATTTCAAATTCCATTTCTCTTATTACTAAGGAACTTAGCAGCATTTCTTTTACTTTTTGCTCATAATGAATTTTGTCTTTTGAGGAACCTGTTGCAAGTGAAATGCCTCGTTTTTTCTTTTGGATTGTCTGTTTTTGTCTTTTTTTGGTACAAGTTCTTCATGTATTTTGTCCTTTACTGATTTTAAGTACTGCAGGTATCTTCTCTGAGTTTGACTTCTCTTTTAACTTTCTTTATATTGCTTTAAAAACTCTTAATTTTAGTATAATAAAATTTATCAGTCTTTCCCATAAAGGAAAAGATGAGTGAACTCTCTCTTGTTTAAGGAAGCTTCCTTTCCTGTGGTCATGAAGATAGTGTTACATCTTCTAAAAGCTTTGTAGCTTGGCCTTCCTTTCACATTTAGGTCTTTAATCTACTTATAGTTGGTTTTTGTGTATCATGTGAAGTAGATGGTCTGGTGTTATTTTTTTCTCCTATGACTATCCATTTCTTCCAGCGCCAGTTGTTTTTGTTTTGTTTGTTTTTTTTTTAAGTTTCTTTTTAAGAGAGAGTACGCATGTACATGGGTGAGGGGCAGAGAGGGAGAGAATCCCAAGCAGGCTTCGCACAGTCATCACACAGCTCGATGCAGACTTGATCTTGTGAACCTGAGCCAAAATCAAGAGTCGGACGCGTAAGCAACTGAGCCACCCAGGGGCCCGTCCAGTACCACTATTTTGAAAGGCTTTTTTTTCCCTACTGATCTGCAGTGCTTTACCTCTACGGAATGCCAGGTGTCCATGCATGTGTGGGCCTGTTACTGGGATCTATTCTGTACTACTTTTCTGTTTGTTCACAGGTCAGCATCCCTGTCATGATAACATTTAAACATAAGCCTTGTTTTTCAAAGTTGTATTGGTTTATGCTTATCCTTTGCGTTTTCTTTGCATAGACTCAAATTGTCAAGTTCCACAAATAAGCCTGTTGGATTTTTGTTTGAAGCTATGTAATGTTTAAAAACCAGTTTGAGAAAAGTTAATATCTTCATAGTATTGAGAATTCTGTGAACTGGTACAGTTCTTCATTTATTTAGACATTGCTTGATGTCCTTCAGAGCTTTAGAATTTTTTCCATAGAAGTCTTTTTTGGTTTATGAACTTGAAAATGAAAGTAGTTTATGTATTGGCATAGAGGTAGAATTGAACTTTGTGTAATGATTTTGTTTCCAACTACTGTGCTAAACTTTTTTTTCTTTTTTAAGTTTATTTTTGAGAGAGCGAGTGAGAGCACAAGCAAGGGAGGGGCAGAGAGGTAGTATATTTTTCCTGATTAGTTTTAAGAGGTTTTATAAGAATTTGTCCACTTAAGGCAAACTATAAGAGACTCTTAAATACAGAGAACAAACTGAGGGTTGATGCGGGGGATAGGGGAGAGAGGAAAATGGGTGCTGGGCAGTGAGGAGAACCCTTGTTGGGATGAGCAAGTGCCAGTGGGTGTTGTAAGTGATGAACTACAGGAATCTACCCCAAAAACCAAGAGCACATGTTACACACTGTATGTTAGCCGTTTGACAATAAATTAAATTGAAAAGTAATAAAATCGGGGCGCCTGGGTGGCGCAGTCGGTTAAGCGTCCGACTTCAGCCAGGTCACGATCTCACGGTCCGTGAGTTCGAGCCCCGCGTCGTGCTCTGGGCTGATGGCTCAGAGCCTGGAGCCTGTTTCCAATTCTGTGTCTCCCTCTCTCTCTGCCCCTCCCCCGTTCATGCTCTGTCTCTCTCTGTCCCAAAAATAAATAAACGTTGAAAAAAAAAATTAAAAAAAAAAAAAGTAATAAAATCAGAAGAAATGAAAAAAATAACTGGTTAAAAAAATTTGCACACTTAATCTAAATATTTAAGTTTATTAAGTTTTTTTTTAATGTTTACAGCATTCATAAAGATGTCCCCTATTTCATGTTCTAAGTAAAGAATTGAGCTTAGGTGCCTAGGTGGTTCAGTCAGTTGAATTTCCAATTTTGTCTCAGCTGATAATCTCGTGGTTCGTGAGTTTGAGCCTTGCATTGGGCTCTGTGCTGATGGCTCAGAACCTGGAGCCTGCTTCAGATTCTGTGTCTCCCTTGGTCTCTGCCTTTCCCCCGTGTTCGTTTGTTCTCTCTCTCTCTCTCTCTCTCAAACATTAAAAAAATTGTTTTTAATTAAAAAAAATAAAGTGTACAATCCAGTGATGTTTTAGTGTGTGCCTTGATTTGTACAGCCACCACCTCAGTCAGTTTTAGAACATTTTCATCCTCCCTCTTCTACCCCACAACAAAATCTCTTATCTGTTAGCAGTCGTCCCTCATTTTCTCCTAGTCCCTTAACCTCAGGCATCTACGGATCCACTTTTGTGTCTCTAGATTTGCCTGTTGCCTATGCTGGGCATTTCATATAAACAAGAATATAGGTGGTGTTTTGTTTTTGTTTTTGTTTTGTTTTGTTTTTTTTTGCTGGCTCTTTACTAAATGTTTTCAAGGTTCATCCATGTTATAGCATGTATCAGTGCTTCATTTTTTATGACTGAATAATACTCCATTAAGTGGATATACTATTCATAGTTCATTTTGTGTATCCGTCAGTTGATGGGCTTTAGGGTTATTTCCACTCCTTGACTATTACGAATAATGCTGCTGTGAACATTCTAGGATTTATTTTTTTATGTTAACATGTTAGAGAATATTTGACAATTTCCTTAGGTTAGGGACTTTGATACTTATTGCTTTATTTTGGCTTCTTGTAAGTAATCTATGGGAGAAATCCTAATCTGATGAATAAACTCAGATATTACGAGACTGTTATTTGTAAATAATATTTCCATGACTAGTTTTTGTCATTCTTTTCATTTCACTGGTTATTTTAAAACCTTGGTTACTCTTAATTGTTGGGTCTATGTACATTAGCCATTACGTATCATTCAGTTCTCTAAGATGAATCTTCTCTCACTTTTCTGACTGGAGCTGCTGCAGAGTTCATCACCTCATATAATTGGTTAGTGTACTTTATACATTCTGGGAGAACTCTATGCCAGGCTAGTTAGCTGCTTTATTTCATAGAAATGACTGCAGTTGTTGAAATGATCACATTCCACTCCCTTTCCCCATGATGATTCTTAATTCACAGTCTCATCTTTTAAATTACTGAACTAAATCTGTGATTGATAGGTGGCTGAAGAAGGAATATTTGGTTGTTTTTAAATCGAAACTTTTCTAACTGTAGCGTGCATTTTTAAAAGTGCCAGTATTCAAATAAAAATTACTCAAATTCCTAGGTGTGTTCAAGATCAATAAATTTAGAAAAAGCTTCGGATTCTTTGAAAGGAAACATGGCTGCTTTTCTAAAGTAAGTGCCCTTTTCTCCTTAATTTGAATTTAGTCTTGTGAGAAAAATAACTTTTGTTACTTTTTGTGTTTGTCCTGCATGTCTTATAAATAGGCAGTCATTTGAGAGCCAGTTAAGTTCAGATTTGTATAGTGACACAAAATTTAGAATTCTGTTACTCTTTTTGTGTATCGTGACATGGACATCACAATTTTAGGACCAAAAAATTTTTAAATCTGTTTCAAATATTGTTACATAGTTTATGAAATGGTAGCTTGTTAAATGGCTTATTAATAAAGATTCGTTAATATGATTGTTTTTCCCAAACTAAATTATAAACTTTTTTTGTTTTACACTATTTTTACTGATCTAGGAATGTGTGTCTGGGGTTGGAAGATCTGCAGTATGTTTTCATGATTTCTTCACATGAGCTTTTCATTACATTGTTGAAAGATGAAGAACGAAAGCTACTTGTTGATCAGATGAGGAAGAGATCCCCTAGAGTAAATCTGTGCATTAAACCTGTAACTTCATTTTATGATATCCCAGGTTAGCTCTCTAGTCTGCTAGCAAAAATGTTGGCACATTTTGCACTTGTGTTATATTTGCCCCTCAGTGTATTTGAGGATGCCCTCTCATGCGTTTTAGTTTATATTTATGTCCATAATTAATTCAAAATTTACCAGTCTTCTGTAGTCCTATTTCTGTCTAAGCAGTGAAGTGCTGGGATGCTGCTCAGTCTGTGTTTAATGGAGATTGAGGCCTAGATATACAAAACTTTTAGTTGGTGAAAATAGACCAAGGTTCTATTGCTGATACATTCTTGGAGGTAGAATGAGAGCTGGGAGGGGTGCCTGGGTGGCTCAGTTGGTTAAACATCTGACTTCGGTTCAGGTCTTGATCTCGTGGTTTATGAGTTTGAGACCCTTGTTGGGCTCTGTGCTGACAGCTCAGCTTGGAGCCTGCTTCGGATTCTGTGTCTCCCTCTCTCTCTGCCCTTCCCCCCCCTTCTCAAAAATAAACATTAAATTTTTTTCAAAAATTAAAAACAATTAAGAGCTGGGAGGGGAGTCCTGAGACTCAGGGAAAGTACAGGCTTTCATGGATTTGAGCTTGCATCACTGATCTGCTGGCTAAGCTTCCACTTGGACAACATTGCCATTTGTTACCTTGTTTTTTTGATGATTTTTTTTTTCCATTTTTGGTTTTATTTTACAAATACAAGTAGAAAACGTAGTGCTATTCATTAATAAGAAACACAGGCTTTAGAGCTTAATATAAATGAGACCGAATTCAGTCAGTTTAACAAAACAGAATTGTAGCTGCTGTGAACCTCGCTACATTTAAACTGGTTGACCAGTTGTAAAGGAAAATGACATTAGACCTAAAATGCTGGGGATGGATTAATGAAGACTATCTGAAAGTTGAGTCGTAATTAGGGATTTTAATGATCTTTTTGGTTTCTCTGGGAAGTCAGTCCCTCCTTCTCTTCTTCTCCCTTTAAAAAACATTTTTAGTGTTTAATTTTTTTTTAATGTTTATTTTTGAGGAGGGGGAGGGAGACAGAGCGCAAGTGGGGGAGAGCCAGAGAGAGGGAGGTACAGAATCCAAAGCAGGCTCCAGGCTCCGAGTTTTCAGCACCAGTGTGGGGCTTGAACCCACAAACCATGAGATTATGACCTGAGCCGAAGTCAGGCGCTTAACCGACTGAGCCAGCCAGGCGCCCTCCCCACCCTTTTTAAAAAAAAAAATTTTTTTTTTAACGTTTAGTTATTTTTGAGAGCGAGCACGAGTGGGGGAGGGGCTGAGAGAATATTTTTTAAAATGAAAATATTTTTATACATGCTTTTGTTAACACATAATGTTTGAAAGTAGGAGACTATCTACATAAGTGAATTTTTCCATGTAGCCCACCTAGTTCTTTCTATAGCCAGTTACTGATTTTATTTTTTTTAAGTTTATTTATTTATTTTGAAAGAGTGTGAGTGAGCAGGGGAGGGGCAGAGGGAGGGAGAGAGGGAATCCCAAGCAGGCCCGCACTGTCAGCCTACAGCCTGATGCAAGGCTTGATTCCACAACCCTGGGATCATGGTCTGAGCTGAAATCAAGAATCAGACCCGTAACCAGCTGAGCCACCTAGACGCCCCCCAGTTACTACTAATTTTTATCTTCGTTTATAGTGTCATCTTTATTAAATGCAGACCTAATACATATTGTTACATTTTTCTATGTGAGGATAAAATTAATATATAATTTATACTATATTGAATTCTCTATATTGAGTTCTCAAGATGAGAGTGGTATTTCACTTATAGATATAATACTTAAACACAGTTTGAACAAATTATTCTTATATTTGTAGGATTCCTTTGAATTGTCATTATTGAAACAAATCTTTCTTTCTTAGCCTCAGCAAGTGTCAACATTGGCCAGTTGGAGCATCAGCTGATATTGTCAGTGGATCCCTGGAGGATTCGACAGATTTTAATTGAATTACATGGTATGACTTCAGAGCGCCAGTTCTGGACAGTGTCTAACAAGGTTAGAAACGCTTTGTCAACAGCAGATAAGAAAGTTACTCTTTTTTTCTGATGTAATTTAATAGAAGAGTTATTCCCTGAACTTCTTAAGAATAAAGACCCCTATTTGTCAACAATATTAGGACCTTTACATGACAATAATTACACTTTGAACATCCATTGTTGGAGAAAATACAAAATGTCAAAAAGGATACTTTTAAATCTGTAACCTCTAAAAATAAGTTTGTTATATTGTCGTGGCATCTCCATATATTTTAAATACAGCTGTAAGTGTATGTATAAGGTATATTTACACAGTCTGTAGCTGCTACTTCCTATGTGTTTATAGAGTATTTTTGTTTTTATTAATGCCCTCTTGAAGTCTAAAGCCTAAAGGTTGGAACCGATTCATTAAAACTTTTTTATAGGGCATTTCTGGCTTTACCTGTTCATTTAAAAATTCCCAGCTAATGTATTTACCTGATTCTGAAGTTATGTGTTTAAAACCTTTCCTGCATGCAAAGTGCGGATGAAGATAGCTTTTCGAACACCATTTCAGTGGAACGGAGCTAAAGCTACAGGGAAAGAGTCCGTGTATGCAGGAGAGAAGTATGGCGGTACTTCTAACTCACTGCGTACCGCTCTGCTGAAAGTGTAGGAGAAAAGCAGCCGGGCATTCATGTATATTTTATGGGATTTGAACACAAAACTGCAATGAAATGAAAAATTTCTCTGAACGTTAGTGTTGGGCATCATTAGTGTTGACATTGTTAGTGCTCATTTTATAGATGAAGTAGAATAGCATAGAGGGAGTTCTGATCTGAATGCCTGAGTTTGAATCCCAGCCTCTATACTTATTAGCTGTATAATCAATCTTGTGCAAGTTAACTTGACATCTGTGTGCTTCACTTTTCTTATCTGTAAAATGAGGTTAATAGTACCTACTTCATAGTGTTGTGGTGAGGATCACATAAGTTAATATATAGTCCTTGTGCTTTTTTTCCTTCTTTTTTCCTGTGGACTATCCTTTAGAAAGTTCCAACCCATTTAATTTATTACTGGCTTATAGTGAATATGTCTGTTTTGATTAACATTTCATTATAGCTGTCATTTTCCTTTTTCTATGAAAGTGATCTTTGCGTGATTATTTTATTTTATTTTATTTTATTTTATTTTATTTTATTTTTAACGTTTATTTATTTTTGGGACAGAGAGAGACAGAGCATGAATGGGGGAGGGGCAGAGAGAGAGGGAGACACAGAATCGTAAGCAGGCTCCAGGCTCTGAGCCATCAGCCCAGAGCCTGACACGGGGCTTGAACTCACGGACCGTGAGATTGTGACCTGAGCCGAAGTCGGACGCTCAACCGACTGAGCCACCCAGGCGCCCCAATTTGCATGATTATTTTAAATGTGGTTGAAGATTATTGAAAGATTCTTCTCTAGATTTGGCTTTCTGTGTGTGTATTGTGTGCATGTGTATTTATATATTTTTATTTCTTCTAGTGGGAAGTACCTTCTGTTTATAGTGGGGTCATCCTGGGAATTAAAGACAATTTAACAAGAGATTTGGTTTACATTCTGTTGGCCAAAGGTTTACACTGCAGTACTGTTAAGGTGAGTAAAAGCATATGTCAATTACTGGTTAAAATATGCTTTATCAATTTTATCGTGAAACCCAGGAATCAGAATCTCCTATATTTTCCTTGATCTTAAAAATACAGCCCTAGGCCTAAAGGGTCTTTTCTCCCCGCTCTTAAAGGATATTGTAAAAGGTGTTTTGGTTCTTTTTCCTCTACCCTCACAACTGTACCAAAGTGGTCTTGGATATACAGATACTGCTCCATTCCTTGAGACCATGAAAAATTATTTAGTGTTATCTTTTAGGATTAACTTAGTAAAATTGTGTTCCAGGCTGTAAGAACAAAACAAAATCCCTTAAGATTACTTTTGTAGTTTATTTTACACAAGGAGTTTGTAACCTGTTTGGGAAGTTGAGACCTAAGTGAAATGTTAAATGATATAAGATGGTAAAATTGCACGAGTAATAGTATAGTAAATTCTATAGGCAGGTTAATAGCATTTCCAAATTTAGTTCCAGCAGAAATCCTGCACTAAAGCCCGAAGCATGAATAAGTTAGCGAGGTAAAGGGGGGATGGCACCATGTGGAAAAGCTCAAAGATAAGAAATAGGATGGTATACAAGGGGACCGGAAGCAGTAAGCTGATGTTAAGAGTATCATTTGGTATGTGAGGCTAGAAGGGGAAATAAGATGTAGCCTGTACAGACCCCGTGAGCATTGCTAAGGTGGTTGGTTTTTCTAGATGAGCACTCTTCTAGCTAGAAGTCAAGTGTGTAGACATCACAGTTTGTTTGGTTTTGTTAGATATAACTTATTGTCAAATTGGGATACATACAACACCCAGTGCTCATCCCAACAAGTGCTCTCCTCAGTGCCCATTAGACATTACAGTTTTAAGGGAAGCGGTATCCAGCCTTTTTTCTTGTCTTTCCTAAAATTGATCTGCCTGAAAAACTCTTTATGGTTCATGTGTCCTGTTGTTTTTCCTTTTCACATTCCGTTCTTTTTTCACAATTGCCCTTTTCTAGCTTACTTTAAAAAGGTGGAGGGAGGGGTGCTTGGGTGTCTCAGTCGGTTAAGCGTCTAACTCTTGATTTTGGCTCAGGTCATGACCTTGTCCTGAGATGGAGCCCTATGTTGGCCCCGAACGGAGTGTGGAGCCTGCTTGGGATTCTCTCTCTCTGCCCTTCCCTGCTCGCTCTTGCGCTCTCTCACATTCTCTCTCTTTCTCATTCTCTCTCATTCTCTCTCTTTTTCATTCTCTCTCTAAATATTTAAAAAAAAAGGGGGGGGCCATATTTTAGCTTTAGAGTAAGTTTTGAAACCAAGTGCTGTCAAGGCTTCCTTTGCAAATGATTTTGGCTAGTCTAGGTCTTTTGCTTTCTTATTTATTTTTAAGATTTTATTTAAGTAAACTCTACACCAAATGTGGGGCTTAAATTTATAACCTTGAGATGAAGATTGTCATGTTCTACCAACTGAGCCAGCCAAGTGCCCCTCCCCTTGGCTTTTTTAATATAAATTTTAGAATCAGCTTTTCAGTATTTACTGGAGAAAAAAAAAAAAGCCTGCTGGGATTTTGATTCAGATTGCAATGAATCTATAAATCAGTTTGGAGACAATTGATAACAATATTATGTCTTTCAGTCCATGAACTTGGTATAGGTCTTCATTTATTTAGGCCTCTATTTATTTATGTCCTTATCTTGTTAAGTTCGGTAATTTTCAGCATACAAATCTTGCATGTATTTTGTTAGATCTATCCCTAAAGGCATGTATATTTTAAAATAAAAATAATGTAGTTCAGGGGCGCCTGGGTGGCGCAGTCGGTTAAGCGTCCGACTTCAGCCAGGTCATGATCTCGCGGTCCGTGAGTTCGAGCCCCGCGTCGGGCTCTGGGCTGATGGCTCAGAGCCTGGAGCCTCTTTCCGATTCTGTGTCTCCCTCTCTCTCTGCCCCTCGCCCGTTCATGCTCTGTCTCTCTCTGTCCCAAAAATAAATAAACGTTGAAAAAAAAAATTAAAAAAAAAAAATGTAGTTCATTATTCAAAAAGTATTTGCACTACACTTTAGCATGTCCTTAAACTCTTCCTAAAACAATGCTTTTTATTTATTGTTATTATTTTCTGAAGTTTATTTTGTGAGACAGCAGGAGAGTGCATGTGTACGGGGTTGGGGCAGAGAGAGAGAATTCCAAGCAAGTTCTGAGCTGCTGGCGAGGAGCCTGTTACGGGGCTTGATCCCATGAACCATGAGATCATGAGCCAAAATCAAGAGATGGATGCTTAAATGACTGAACCACCCAGGCATCCCTCCAAAATTACTTCTAAGCTTAAAAATTTATATCAGGAAGTGAATATTATATAAAACTTTTTAAGAGGGCGTTGAGCAAAGAACCTTTTGTAGATAGTGCTGTAAACCAGAGGTTCTCAAAGTCTGACCCCCCACACCAGCAGCATTGGCTATATTTGGGAACTTGTTAGAAACGCAAAATGTTGGACCGCACTTAGACCTACTGAATCAGAAACTGCAGATGGGGCACAGCAGTTTGTTTTAATAAGCCCTCCAGGTAATTTCTGATGCATGCTAAAGTTTGAGCACTATTTCTAGACCAGTACTGTCCAGTGGAAGTACCATGCAAGCCACATATGTAATTTATGATTTTCTTGTAGCCACATTTTTAGAAGTACAAAAGTGATTTTAATACATTTGAACCCACTATATCTAAACTATTGTTTCAACAAATAAGCAATATAAAAATTGAGTTTTTTTTTTTTTTAAATGTGTGTGCTAGGTTTTCACTCAAAATCCAGTGTTTTATGCTCAGAGCACCTCCCAGTTTGGACTGGTCACAATTCACATGCTCAGTAGACACATGTAGCTCATGGCTACCATATTGGAACGTACAGCTCTAGACAGTAGTGAGCTGTTGAAAAGTTTATAATGGGGCATGCCATTAGCCCCTTTTCTCCTTCCACCCCTAAAATAACTAACATTTATTGAGCATGGAGACTGTTCTGCAGTTTTCTTATATATTTATTCTTTGACTTATTGGTCACACACACAGCTGTGTAGAACGTGTTAGCTCAGTTTTATAGGTGAAAAATCAGAGACTCAAAGGTAATAAATTGAGGTCACACAGCTAGTAAGTGGCACAAGTATTAGAAAGGGTAGAAGCGAACAGACAGACGTTAAGAAGGTAAAATCTAGAATTGATTGTTTCCTCATGTGCTGTGGAAGGCAAGAGGGAGAAAAGAATGGAGAGAGATGTTCAGATTTCTGCTTAGGTTTCTGCCAGCTTGCGAATATGTAGAAAAACATTTTTGAAGGACTGATTATCCATTTTAAAATGTTTAGTTTGGGCCTGCAGTTGGAAACAGCCTGAAGCTTGGGAAATGGTCTGGGCTAGATATAGAGATTTGGGAGACATCAGAGATCACCCAGGGAGAATATACAGAGCCTAGGGGATACGACATTGTGTCCCAGAAACAGTGGCAGGATGCGTATGAGGACCAGACACAGGTGGAGTCGTGATAGCCAAGGGAATAGAGAGAATGTCAGGCACAAGGGAGTGGGCAGCATGGGGATGCAGCCCCTGGGTTCTGTAAGATAACTAAAGAGTGTTTAGTCAGTTGAACAGTTAGAAGGTCTTTGTTTAGTGGGAGATATTTCTTCATCGTGATGGGGGTAGGAGTAAAGGAGACAACTGTGGGGAGGGAGAGAGAACGAACAAAGACTGCTCTTCGGAAAAATTAGAAGCGGACATGTAAGAAAGGGATTGGATTGTAGTGAGTTTGATTTATTAGTCAATTATGTGGACTAAGGTCGTGTACAGAGATTTTAGAATGTAAAACCTTGTTGGGGCACCCAGGTGGCTCAGTCAGTGAAACGTCTGACTTTGGCTCAGGTCATCATCTCCTGATTTGTGGGTTCGAGCATTGGGCTTTGTGCTGACAGCTCAGAGCCTGGAGCCTACTTTAGATTCTGTGTCTCCCTGTGTCTCTGCCCCTCCCCATTCATGCTCTCTCTTTCAAAAATAAACATTAAAAAAATTTTCTAGAATGTAAAACTTTGTTGAAGAGTATAAGATCCAATTCTTAATAGATTAGGTATAGAAGGGTACTTGTCATGGAATCTGTATGGATTTTGTGTATATGTATGTATAGAAGATGTATAATTTATGTGAATTCTATATATGTATATAACATGTATGGCTCGTATGTATAAGATAGGCATATAGGTATATAATATACATTATGTATATGTAATATGTGTAGCATATATAAAATGTATGTGATGTGTATATAATTATGTAAAAGTTTTTTTGGTTTTACCATTTATATAAAACTTGTTTGATAATACAGCATATTTTTATGCTGTTTATTGGATTTTTTAAAAAATTATTTAAATTCAAATTAGTTAACATACCACTTATATCAGGAAGTGAATATTATATAAAACTTTTTAAGAGGGCATTGAGCAATGTCGTATCCCCTAGGCTCACGTATAGTATTGGTTTCAGGAGTAGAACCCAGTGATTCATCACTTCCATATAACCCCAGATGTTCATCCCAGCAAGTGCCTTCCTTAATCCCCATCACCCATTTAACCCATCCCCTGCCTACTTCCCTTCCAGCAACCTTCAATTTGTTCTCTGTATTTAAGAGTCTCGTATGGTTTGCCTCCCTCTCTGTTTTTATCTTATTTTTCCTTCGCTTCCCCTGTGTCATCTGTTTTGTTTCTTAAATTCCACGGATTTTTTTTAGACTACAAAAGAATTAAGTATTGGAATAAATCAGTGACACAGATGATAAAGAAAAAGATAATCTGGCCTCTTTCCAAGACATCCGGTGTTAACCATTTAAATTAATCCTCCTCCTCTTTGCTCCGTTCTCATAAAGATGCACATTTTTCGATTCCAGAGGAAAAGCAATCCAGTGATTTCTTTCTTTCTGTAGGACTTTTCCCACGCCAAACAGTTGTTTGCTGCTTGTTTGGAGTTGGTAACAGAGTTCTCGCCAAAACTCCGTCAGGTCATGCTGAATGAGATGCTGCTTTTGGATATTCATACGCATGAAGCTGGGACAGGGCAATCAGGAGAGAGACCTCCTTCTGATCTTATTAGTAGGGTGCGAGGATATCTGGAAATGAGGCTTCCTGGTAAGACTTTCACAAAGCCAAAGTTCAGAAATACAGTACTCAGGTAATTGTGGGGAAGAATCTAAAAACATTTGCTTGACTTTTTCCATCTATAAAAAAGTTACCTCTCTCCTAAAACAGAAATCTGACGTGGAGTTCACTTAAGAACATTGAGGATAATGTAGGAAACTATTCATTTCCAAGAATTTCCATAACAAAGTACCACAAGCTAAATGATGAAAACAGCAGAAATTTATTCTCTTATACTTTTGAAGGCCAGAGATCGGAAATCAAGGTGTCAGCATGGCCATGCTCCCTCTGAAGGCTCTGGAGAAGAAGCCTTCTAGCTTCAGGTGGCTCCCAGCAATCTTTTATTCACTCCCATCTCTGCCTCCTTTGTTACGTGGCCTTCTCAGGGAGTGAGAGTGTGAGTGTGTGTGTGTCTTACAAAGGCACCAGTTATTGGATTTAGGGTGTGTGCTAATTCAGTATGATTTCATCTTAACTAAGTAGATATGTGAAGGTCCTGTTGTCAAGTGAGGAAACTCTGAGGTCTTAGGTGGAAATGAATTTTGAGGGGACACTGTTCAACACATTACAAAATTATATTGCAGTTTTAAGATACTTTGTTAAAGAATCAAAATGTCATTGAAAGTACAGATTGAAAGTTTAATTCCTCATTACTATCATAGAAATAATCAGAATGGTTGCCACTGGGTCAGGAACTCAATTGTCACTTCAGGAACAAACCTTGTGTGTCCGGTTCTAAGTATAAATATGCCATTATGAAAAGGGCTTATCATAAAAATTATCTCTGTTGTATGTAAATCTTAAAGTAGTTTCTTAATTTTACATGTTTTAGAGTAATTATTATTTTTTTTTTCAACGTTTATTTATTTTTGGGACAGAGAGAGACAGAGCATGAACGGGGGGGAGGGGCAGAGAGAGAGGGAGACACAGAATCGGAAGCAGGCTCCAGGCTCTGAGCCATCAGCCCAGAGCCCGACGCGGGGCTCGAACTCACGGAACGCGAGATCGTGACCTGGCTGAAGTCGGACGCTTAACCGACTGCACCACCCAGGCGCCCCTGTTTTAGAGTAATTAAATCATACTATACACATTTAAAGCTGTAAGCAGTAAAATTGAAGTGTAACGGAAGGTGCTAGTAATGTGTCAAAGCACAAATGGCCACTGGCCCTCTTGGGTCTTTTGGAGTAAGTTAATTGTTAATACATTCTGATTTCTAGCAGAAATTACAACCATGGGTCAGGATAAGGGAGGGGTGCAAAAAGGTGTTATCTGCCATCATCTCCTCCCTCTCTTTTTAGGGAAAAAAATTGTTCCCTGGTGATACTGGGCTGATTTTGATCAAATTAAATGCATACGCTCTGTAAAAGACAGAGGGTGTTAATGTGGCTTGGTCTGGCTCTACTATCAGGAACAGGAAGTGATCTTTTTGTGTGTGTGTGTGTGTGTGTGTGTGTGTGTGTGTGTGTGTTTATTTTTGAGAGAGCATGAGGGAGGGGGTGGGCACAGAGAGAGAGGGGGACAGAGGATCCAAAGCAGGCTCCATGTTTACAGCGACAAGCAGTCCTTTATGTGGGGCTCGAGCTCATGAACAATGAGATCATGACCTGAGCTGAAATTGGACACTTAACACTGAGCTACCCAGGCATCCAAAGGAAGAGGAAGTGGTATTCATTGACAACAAATCCAACCTTCATTTATAAATAAGGGCTACTTCTTCTAAATTAATTATTTAGATTAATTATTCTAAAACCACTGATGTCTTTTGGGAGAAATTCCCTAACTTTTAATACTTTGTACTAAAAGGTAACTTTGTGTTGAGACGCGTGTCTTAGTTATGTTCCTTGGATTTCAGCAAATTTGAATTCTAGGCCTGGTAGAGATAATGATGAATTGTATATTGCAGATGCTTAAAGGGAAGTTTAAGCTCCAAATCATTGCTTCTCAGGCTGTATCAGAATTCTCCCTATATTCTGATTTATCTTTAAGAATTGTTGCTGTACCCTCCCCCACTCATGCTCCCTCAAAAAATTAAAAAAGCGCACCTGGGGGCTCAGTTCGTTAAGTGTCTGATTTCAGCTCAAGTCATGATCTCATGGTTCATGGGATTGAACCCCCTATCAGGCTCCATGCTGGGTGTGGAGCCTGCTAACATTCTCTCTCTCCTTCTGCCCTTCCCCTGCACACGGGTGCAGTCGTTCTCTCTCTTTCTCAAAAAAAAAAAAAAAAAAAAAAAAATTAAGGGCGTCTAGGTGACTCAGTTGGTTAAGCTTCCAACACTTGGTTTCGGGTCAAGTCTGATCTCACGGTCATTGAGATCAAGCCCTGCATGGGACTCTGCGCTAGTAGCATGGAACCTACTTGGGATTCTGTCTCCCCTCTCTGCCCCTCCCCTGCTGATGCTCTCTCAAAATACACTTTATGGAAAAAAAAAAAAAAAAAAGATTAAAAAAAATTAAAATTAACAAAAAATCCAAACCATTGCTGTATTATTAATGGGGAATGTGGGTGAATAAATGAAGCCTTGGAGTCAAATGCTGTGTGGTCTGCCTTTGGCAAAATGTAAAGAACTCAATGACATGCATGTGTTGGAGATACCAGTTTCACTTCTGTCTTTGTTCTTGAAGGTGATGCAAATAGTATATTTTGTTTTGCTGTGTTCCTATGCCTGTCTTTGTTGTTGCAAATCCTCTTTCGGGTAAGGTGAGATATAAACAAATAGCCATAGGCAGTTTTTTTTTTTCTTTTTTTAGAAAGACTAAACAAAATATATTTACCTGAGAAGTTTAATAGCTCTCCCTATTTCAAGTGAACGTTGTTATTTAGCATTCTTTGGGATTTTTCTTTTTGCTGAAGTATGTTTAAACCTGAATATTATATACTTTGAGCTACAAAAATTTGCAACATATTTAATACTAAGGTATATTTATTTCAAAGGAAACGATGTGCGAAACTTTTTTTATTTTTCTTTTGGTCCAAAAGTTCTGAGTGATTTTTTTTTTTTTTTTTTCCTTCTCATTACTTTTTGCTTAAAATTGTTTCTGGGGTGCCTGGGTGGCTTAGTCGGTTAAGCAGCTGATTCTTGATTTCGGCCCAGGTCATGATCTCAAGGTTTGTGACTTTAAGCCCCACATGTGGCTCTTTGCTCACAGTGCTGGGTCCGCTTCGGATCCTTTGTCTCCCTCTCTCTGCTACTCCCCTATGCGTGCACACGTGCGTTCTTTCTTTCACAAAAATAAATGTTAAAAAAATTGAAAACTAAAAATGTTTTTGGTACAGTAAATATTTTTTGAAAGTAAATGATTTCGTAGAATGCTTATTACATTTTAATCAGAAGAAATATTTAAAATGATACATTCACTCAGATTTGTTAGTTTTATTATATGGTATAGCTATTTCTGTGCTCTAAATGTGCTAAAAGTTTATACTGTACCATCGTACTTGTTTTGTGTGTTTGTTCTCTGCTCATTTGGGTTACAAATTTTATAGAGGACAGGTAACGCGGACTTCCACAAGAGAGTGTAAAGTATTCTTAGTAGGTGAGTTTGTTAATTAGTAAATAGTAGGGACCATGCAGTCTGTTGTTGGGAAAACTTAACTTTTTTAAAAAAATTTTTAACGTTTATTTATTTTTGAGAGAGAGAGAGTGGGGGAGGGCCACAGAGAGGGGAGACACAGAATCTGAAGCAGGCTCCCGGCTCTGAGCTGTCAGCACAAAATCCCACACAGGCCTCAAACTCTGACCTGAGGCAAAGTCAGATGCTTAACTGACTGAACCACGCAGGCACCCTGAGAAACCTTAACTTTCTAAAGAAAAATATAAAACATTAGAATTTTTCTGTTGTTTCATCTGTAACTGTTGTTTTTAATTTGTTCAACTGAAATCTGAGTACATGTTTGCTTTGTTCTGTTTTAATGTTATGATGGTAATTCCAACTATTTTCTTTGTCTTTTTAGATATTCCTCTTCGTCAAGTTATAGCTGAGGAATGTGTTGCTTTTATGTTAAACTGGAGGGAAAATGAATACCTTACACTGCAAGTTCCCGCATTTCTGCTTCAGAGTAATCCATATGTAAAGGTAATTTGTGTTTAATCTAAAAGGATTATTAGGATGAGATCATTGTACCTGTTTCTTTAGATCTATACTAAGGGAACTTGTCCAATTTCTATGATACAATGGAAGATGGGACAAATGTTTGTTGGTGTGTGGTTAAAAGTATAGTTTGAGATAATTTGGGTGCTTGGGTTTGCCCTCTGATATTTTTTTCAATATCCAGTAGTTCATGAGAATGCAAACAAAAATTAGTTAACGGACATTTTGGTATAACCGTAAGCTAGTGAGAGGTTAGTTCTCTTTTCTTGTTTTGATCAGTAAAATCAAACTCTAGTGTTAACCTCTGGCATACATGGGTGTACCTGCATGTGAGGGGTGCACTTCCAGCTTTTTTCCATCTGAGCACCTGACCCTTCCTTAGAGCTTATTTCCTCCTCTCGATTTGTGCATGGTCCTTGGTCATGTAAATGTTAGTAATTACACCCAAATGAAAGAATCCATTCAGTGAATTGGTGGTGAGTTGTTTAGTCACCTTTCTTAATTATATCTCTCTTGTGCAACTGAAAATGTTTCTGGATGGAGAAAATAAAAACAGAAACTTGAATTTTCCCCTAAGACTGTGTTTGTCATGTGTTAATATTATGTGTACCTGAACAAGCAGTGGACTTTTCTCCCTTTCTGGTCTTCAGTTAAAACAAAACAAAACAAAACAAAAAACAAAAAAAACCATGTAGTGGTTTAACATTTCTTTGTGTGTACGTTTGGTTTTTCAGATTTCCTTATTGCTTGTATGCTTTATGTTTATCTTCTCTTACCTTTAGTACATAGTCTCTTCAGTCAGTGGTTATCTGAGAACTCTTGCAAGACTCCCTGTTTTACATTTGTCTTGGTTATTTGTTTTTTCCTCCTAATTTCCTATATGTCCTTTAAAAAACTGAGATCATTTCATTTCAGCCCTTTGAAGGTTTGCTGATTTCTTTTGTGTTTTTACTCCTTTTTGTCTTCTCTATAATTGTTCACAAAATTTATCTCATAACTTGAATCATCCTTCTCTTTGGAATTTTAGACATTGGATTAGATCTGTTTTTTCACTGAATTTTCTAAAATGTGAGTTCCTCCTATCTGGGATACTTGTCTGATTATGCCCAGTAGTCTTGGTCTTTGCTGAACCCTCAGATGAAAGAACCATTTCGTTCCAAGACAGTAATTTCCACTTAGGATTGTAGCTTGTTGTTCAGCATTAGGACCGTACAGTAGCTTTTCTTTGCTTTTCTCAGCAATGAATTCTGTGGAACTGTGCACCAGCAGGGCTGGGTGCGTGTTTCAGGGCCTGCAGTGTGGAAGGGTACGAGATACTGTGCTGGAAGTTGCCTGAACTTGGGCTGGGTTATGTCACTGCTTCCTGTAGCCCCCTGATCTCGCCCAAAAGGAGGAAAGATATGTGGTGACCTTGCTGAAGAGTCATTGAAGTGTTTCATCATCTTATCTGGTTAGGGTTTATGTGTCCCCTTTCCTAGTTTGGCCCTGTGCTCCCTTGTTTATGTCAGGGAAAAAGGAATCAGAGAAAGAGGTCTAGAGTAAGGGATCGTGTTTTGGAAATGCTATAATTTGGAGCAATTTCCAAACTTGGAATTTGGCGTGGAATACATATACATATGCATAGGGAAAAGTTTAGAAGGATGTTAACAGTTACCATCTCTGGATAGTGGAATAGTAGGTGGTTTTATTTTTTTTTTTAATTTTTTTTTTTCAACGTTTATTTATTTTTGGGACAGAGAGAGACAGAGCATGAACGGGGGAGGGGCAGAGAGAGAGGGAGACACAGAATTGGAAACAGGCTCCAGGCTCTGAGCCATCAGCCCAGAGCCCGACGCGGGGCTCGAACTCACGGACCGCGAGATCGTGACCTGGCTGAAGTCGGACGCTCAACCGACTGCGCCACCCAGGCGCCCCAATAGTAGGTGGTTTTAATCAGTTTATTTTCCATTTTATTTTCTTACTTATTTGAATATTCTGTAATCACAAAAGGAAAGGGAAAAATCTTAAACATGTAGCTAAAATATGACCTTTTGAAATAACACAGAACTGTATAGTCTCCCCTTTGGATCAGGATAGGAGGCAGTGTAGCTAGCATATCGGAAAATGCACAGGATTTACGGAGCTCGGTGGTAATAGTAGTAATAGCATCAGATAAAGACCAAAGTTTGTAATGTAGCCTCCAAGGCCTTTTAAGGTGCAGGTGCTTCTTCCTCTGTTTGCTCTCTCTTCCTCCTTGTCCTGCTGTTCTGTGCTCGTGGTTCCACATTACTCACAGCTCTCTATGCAGGATGCTTTCTCTACTTCTGCACTTGAGCATGTGCTGTGAATCACTTAGCCGGGATGCCCTTCCCACTTTTGCCTGTTGGTGTGGTTTCTTGGAAGCTTAGCCTTATTTCTTTCTCTGCAAAGGAGTAAATCACTTTCTCCTTTGTTACCTTTGAACTGTGTTACTAAGTAGTCCTGCTACTTTTGGGGAGGCATATATTTTTGTTGCACTTACACTATGTAATAAGTTATTTTTCACTTGTCTTCTTATAGAATAGTGAGCTTCTTGAGGACAGTTACTTTTTATATTCTCAGTGCTTTATTTGATGTCCACACATAGTAGATGCTTAAGAGTGTTTGTGGAATTCAGTTGACTTCGAGGGGCCTAAGACTTTTTTCTTTCCTTTTCTTTTCTTTTTTTTAAAGTAATCTCTATACCCAGTGTGGGGCTCAAACTCAAGGACCCTGAGATCAAGTCATAGGTTTTTTTCTGAGCTGGCCAGATGCCCCTGGGGCCTAAAACTTCTGAAAATTCTTACTTTTAAGTAAATTAGTGCAGTGACCTCAACCAAGCATGTGATTCTTAACAACAGAAAATGAATGGAGACAAGGAGCTACTCTAGCCCTGTATTGCACTACAGTAAATAGCTGCATATATGGTGGTCTTAGTTGATGGAGCAGACTTGTATTCAATAGGCATGCAAGATGAAATGTTTTTTTTTTAATTTTCTTGTGGTTTTTTTTTTTAATGTTTATTTATTTTAGAGACAGAGAGAGCACCAATGGGGGAGGGGCAGAGAGAGCCGGAGACAGAATCTGAAGCAGGCTGCAGCTCTGAGCTGTCAGCACAGAAAACACATTCCCATAGCACAGCTAGGGTTTTCACATTGTTTTTACTACCTTTAGGAAGCCCAAGTGTTATAAATTTTCTTAGGTGTGATCATGGAGTTATGGTTATGCAGGAGAATCTTCTAGCTCTTAGAAGATACATAGTAAAGTCTTTAGGGATGAAGTGTGGTGTCTGCGGCTTGTTAGTTAACAAAGAGCATATGTAGGTATATAAAGTAAATACAGTAGAATATTCACAGTAAGTCCAATATACAGATATTACTGAATTCTTCAAGTTTTCCATGTTTGTAATTTTTTATTATAAAAAATAGGGAAAAGTATCAGTTTTCATCTTTGTCATAATACTGCTGCCTCCTTAAAGAAGTTACCTGAGGTGATGGGGACCTCCTTATGAATGTTTTCTAGGTCCAGTTAGGGATCTGGGCTTTCCTGATGGACTTGAAATGATCTTTGCCGTTCACTGTTGAAAAGAGCAATGATGTATAAGAGTTAATATGAACAAAAGATAGAGGGGTCCTCTTTTGTTTGAATTTACAGAGAGAAACACTGAATTTGACATAAGCCTGTTTTTTTCCTCTGCATTTTGGGCCTGTGTTTTCTCTGCCTTTTGCTTTTAGCCCTTCCACTCTTTTATTTGTGTGTTCTTCCAGCATTTTTGGTCCTTTTTTTTTTTTTTTATTTTTTTTTCATCGTTTTTTATTTATTTTTGGGACAGAGAGAGACAGAGCATGAACGGGGGAGGGGCAGAGAGAGAGGGAGACACAGAATCGGAAACAGGCTCCAGGCTCTGAGCCATCAGCCCAGAGCCTGACGCAGGGCTCGAACTCACGGACCGCGAGATCATGACCTGGCTGAAGTCGGACGCTTAACCGACTGCGCCACCCAGGCGCCCCTTTTTGGTCCTTTTAAAGTCGCCTTTATTCAGATCATTCACTTTCAGTAAGCTGTCCTTCCTTCCTTCTTCCTCACATCAGTAACTCCATCTCCAATTGCTCCCATTTTTTTTTAGAGAAAGGTGGTTCTACATCTTATTCCCTTATCCTGCCAACTTCAGTTTCCAAATTTCTCCCCTTATTTTTTCATTAAAAAAGAATTTTTTTAATTTATTTTTATTAAAAAAATTTTTTTTTACATTTAATTATTTTTGAGAGAGAGCACAAGCGGGAAAGGGGCAGAGAGAGAATAAGACACAGAATCGGAAGTAAGCTCCAGACTCTGAGCTGTCAGCACAGAGCCTGACGTGGGGCTTGAACTCAACAGACTGTGAGATCATCACCCGAGCCCAAGTCAGATGCTTAACTGACTGAGCCACCCGGCTGCACCACCTCCCCCACCACAACTTTTTTTTAAATGATTACAGTGTGTGTAAAGTTAAAGCACTATTTTAATTGCACTTCTGGGCTTTTACCACAGTTAACATTGTGTGTGTATATATACTTCCCATTACATACACCACATACCCTGCCCCCTTCTTAAGTGGGATCATACTATTTACTAGCTAGGTGCCCCTCCCACACACACTTTAGTAAATCACATACCTCTTTGCATGGTCTCAGTTTTGTTCTTATTAGACTATACTTGTTTTTGCCCTGATTAGACTTTTATTGAAGGAAACAGTGAGCTTTATAATATGGCAGAACCAAAGCATCCTCTTCCCCAGTCAGATTCCAGTCTGTTAGACAGTGAACTCTAAATTCCTCCGTGGTTGAATGGAAGGTATAGCATAACATACGTGTTGGTATGTTTGGGTCACTATCCTTTCTTTAAGTGCACCTTAAAATAGAACTTACACGTGTATTACAGATTATCTTTTGTGTATTTTCTGTTTTTCGTGTTACAGCTTGGACAGCTTTTAGCAGCTACATGCAAAGAACTTCCAGGCCCTAAAGAAAGTAGACGGACTGCTAAAGACCTTTGGGAAGTTGTTGTTCAGATCTGTAGTGTATCCAGTCAACACAAACGAGGAAATGATGGCAGAGTTAGTTTAATAAAGCAGAGGGAATCTACATTAGGTATAATGTATCGGTACGTTTCTATCCGTTTATTTTTTGTACTCAGTTTGTACTGTTTCAAGAACATCTACCATTATCCTTGTATATCCTAAAGATGGACAGTGTAAGAGTTCTCTGGTGCTGATCTCTGATGGACTAACATGGCCACCTTTGGAAATACCTCTTATTTATGTGTTATTTTAAGAGATTGTTAACCATTTAATATCTACTGGAGTTCAAAGTCGTTGATGTCTATGATTGCATAGTACTGAAGAAGTCATATGTGATTAAAACAGAAGAAATTGTATTAGGTTATTATGACAATAGAATGTTATACTCTTTCATGCATGCAGAATTGGAGAGTTAGGTGTAAACCTTCACCTATAATTTACTTTCTTTTTAATTTCTGATAGTAAATACGTACAAAATTTGTTTTTTGTAGGAGTGAACTACTTTCTTTTATCAAAAAATTACGGGTAAGTTTCATTAAAAGTTATCTAATTCTCATTTTTGTAAAATATGACTGAAAATATTGAGTGCTTAAATGCTGGTTGTTTAAGTGCTCTCTCTGTATGATGTGCTCATTATCTTCAGTGATCATTTCTGAAGATGGGATAGTCTGAATGGAGAGGTTTATTTTGCATTTATCTTAACATGTGTTAGTGAATAATTAGGTTTTTTTTTTTTTAAGTTTGTTTTGAGAGAGACCGAGACTGCACGAGTGGGGGAGGGGCAGAGAGAGAGGGAGACAGAATCCCAAGCATGCTCTGCACTGTGAGAGCAGAGCCTGACACGGGGCTCAAACTCCTGAAACAGTGAGATCATGACCTGAGCTGAAACCAAGAGTCAGACGCTTGACTGAGGCACCTAGGTGCCCCAAAGGAGGTATTTTTTTAATTTTAAGGAAGTTTTCATAATAGGGCAGGATGTGTGAAGCCTAGCCTTAATTTTTGATGATAGGATTAATGTTACACTTATTTACTGACATAACCTAGATTCCATCCTTTAAGTATTATTTTAAGGAATAAAAATTTGATTTTTTTAGAGCTAGCTGGAAGTACTAATTGGAAAGAGATGTATTTACTCAATTTCAAAAGTCATTTGAGGAGTTGAGCACCATAAGCCAGTCACCTAAATATGCTAATTTTTGTGTAATTGTGTGCTGTGACTTCTTTCATGAGATTAAAAATAAAGTTGACCTGTAGTGTGCGCTTTAAACTAAAGCAGATGGTAGACTTCAAAAGTGAAAGAATCTTTTTTTAAATGTCTTTTTGAGAGAGTGAGTGCGTGTGCATGCTGGCTAAGTGGGGGAGAGGCAGAGAGGGAGACAGAATCTGAAGCAGGCTCTGTGCTGACAGCACAGAGCCTGATACAGGGCTCGAACTTCTGAACCGTGAGATCAAGACCTGAGCTGAAGTTGGACTTTTAACTGACTGAGCCACCCAGGCTCCCTAGAGTCTTTTGACAGAAAGTCTTTTGACTTTGTGGGGGAGCACCTGGAGGGGCTCGGTTGGTTAAGCATTTAACTTTGGCTCAGGTTCCGGAGCCGACTTCCAGATTCTGTGTCTCCCCCTCTCTCTGCCCCACTGCCGCTCACACTGTCTCTCTCAAAAATAAACATTAAAAAAAAAAAAAACAAAACCCTTGGTATCCCTGAGGTTGACAGGAGTAATGTTAAATATATATAATATTTAATGATTCTGTATTTTCTTTCTCATAGGAACCTTTGGTTTTGACTATTATTTTATCACTCTTTGTGAAACTTCACAATGTTCGGGTCAGTATTTCATAATTTCATTAAAAAAATCTTCGAAAGAAATTTCCTTTAAAAAAAAAAATCAACTTAAAAATCACTTTTTTTTTTTTTTTTTTTTAGGAGGACATTGTGAACGATATTACAGCTGAACACATTTCTATTTGGCCATCCTCCATCCCGAAGTAAGAAGTATTATAGCTTGAATTTATTTTTTATGTATTTAGAGATCATCCTGATACAGATAATCTTGAATAATTTCACTAAAAGGCTGCAATCTATAAGGATTCTACAGCCAACTTCATTTCTCTGTTGCAGTAATTATTTCTTAAAAATGAATAAGGCATAACTCTAAGAGCTAAGGTACACCAGCCTTAAGTTGAACAAAAGATCCCTAAGTGGTCCTGATGACTTGTCAGTGGGTAGAGTTAGAGCATCGAGGCAAAAACGATCTTCTGTTAGGGTTCCTTCATCTCACCTCTTTTATAAATATCTATTTGAAAAGGGCATCAATAAAAAAAGTTTATTTTGAGAGATAGTGTGCATGTGGGGGAGGGACAGACAGAGAGCAGGGAGAATCCCAAGCAGGCTCTGTGCTGTCAGCACAGGTCAGTGTGGAGCCTGATGCAGGATTGGTGAACTGTGAGGTCATGACTTGAGCCAAAACCAGGAGTCGGCTATTTAACCCAGGCGTCCCGAAAATGACTTCTTTATAATTATTCTTTGTAGGTCTCTTCTAACACTGTGACTGTCAGAGGGTCCCAACCCCTTTTAGTTACTAAGAAGTTCTTGGATACTTTAAGAAATATTCCCTCTTTCTTTCATCTCCTGAAAAGCACAGTAATATGGGGAGAAGAAAACGTTCTTTTTCTGGAAGAAGAAACTATTCACATATTTCTTTTCCTACACATAGCAACTTCTCATTCAAGAGTCCCATTTCTTCCCTCCTAAAAGTTATTTTTCCTATCCTCCCTACCCCCAATTTTTTTTTTTTTGACTTTGTGCCTGAAGGGCAGGACTAGGCCTTATTTTATTGCCCTTAGTGGCATCTTTGAAGAAGAAAAGATTTTAGTAGGTAGATAAGCAGGCAATAGAATGAGAGTAATTTGCTTTCATCTTAATCCTAGAGATTGAAAGCAGTTGTGCATCTCCTATAGAGGCTTGGAAGGTCAAAAGTGAGTGAGTGACCTCATATTGAGGCTTCTTTCCCAAAGGATCACCATGCTTCAGAAGCAAATGTGCATCCTAAATGACATTGTAACTGCAGATTTCTTTTTAAGATTTTATTTTTAAGTAATCTCTACACCCATGATGGGGCTCAAATTTACAAACGAGAAGAGTCACGTGCTCTACTGACAGGGCCAGCCAGGTTCTCGGACTGCAGGTTTTTCTGTAATATTTAGTATGTTACATAGCAGTCCAAAAATCAGATAGAGATCCTTCTGCCTAACTGATGGTTGGTAGCATCTCTGGGGTGTTGCTTCTTTATCCCAATGGTTGATTTTCAGTGTGTGTTTATAAATGAGGCAAAAGAATAGTTTACCATAGAGGCTCTGAGCTAGATTGGTGGAGTTTGAGTCCCAGCCTCTTCTTCACTTACCTGGTATCAAACCCTGTATTAGTTGCTTTCTTTGCTAGTTTCCTCATTTATTAAATGGATATAAGAAGAGTATCTACCTCAGATTTGTGAGGATTAAATAAAATAGTACGTTTCCAAGGTAGGTGTTTATAAGGACTGGCTTGTAATAGGCTTAACTGTTACCTTCATGATAAAGTTACTTTAATGTAAGTTGACACAGAGAAAATGTGACTAAATGTTTGAAAAGAAAAAGTATTTCTCTTGAGCACGAGTTTTTATTAACTCTAAGAATAGTGTGAGAATGGTATGGATTGAGCATGACTATGTTAAGATCAGTTGTTTGATATGTAGATCGAATTCTTGTTAACATTTCATAAATTTCTATAAAATCACAAACCAGTTTAACTCATTTAGCTGTAAATGAATAATTGAGTATTTGCTAATAATACCACAGTTCTGTTCCTACTACACTGGGAACATTGGTGAATTATGGTTAGATCTAACTCTGGGCAACAGGAGGACTTTGTCCAAGTTCACCTTGTAAGCGACAGAGCTAGGACTTGAACCTTTTATGTGTCTGAATCCAGAGCATACGTTCTCTACCTCTATGCCTTACTGCTTCCGGGAGATAGGCACTATGAGCTTTGTTTCTTGTGTGCTGGGCTGGCTTTTATCCTTACAGCTCCATCCTCTAATTCTGTATCACAGGACTTCAGGTTTAACGAGGCTCACAGCGGCTGGCCCCGTTCCCTCCCCTCCTCTGCTTCTTTACAGGCACTTGAATATACTCAAGTGGTACACTTGCCACAGGTAGCCCCCGACCCTGTGAGGGCCAAGTGAAGCCTCTAATCCAGGGGACTTTGTTATTCTCACTAGGAGTCATAAGGTGGACTCGAGGCTGCATAGTATTGTTAGTATTCAGGCCCTTTAAGAGTGACATTTGGGGGGAAAAAAGGAAACAAAAATCAGATTTGTTTTCAACTTCTTCTAAAAAGTGAAGCTTATCACACTTCATACTTCCTGGACTCAGCTGTTATAGTTTTAATAAACAGTACTTTTACTAATAATTGGCATTATATTTATGGTCACTTAAATTTTGGCTAACTCTTTTTGTTGTTTTTTTTTTTTTTTTTTTT